TATTTGACAATTCATAAATAAACAAAATTTCTGGCTTAGAGTCACTATTAATACTAAACTTGGTCACGCCGTACGTATACGCCTGAAATTTATTCTTTTTTCTATCCCCATCTTATGGAAACTTCTTCCATATCTTGATGATTGGTACATTTTCTTTCTGGTATGATTTCTGGCATTACTTTATAGAAGCAGCGTACGATAGGCTTACATAAGTGCTTGTCAGCTATTGATATAATTAGAAGATGCTTTTAAGCAAACGCCAGACTTTGTGAAGGCTTGAAAGGAAGTACTCCCTAACACGACTGTTTCATTCTCCCGCAGGACCTTCGGATGGCCACAATTATAAAGCCAATCTTACTATGTCGAATCTCGAGATCACGCTTGCTGTTTTATCGAAGCTTTAAAGTGTAAACTGTTGGAAATTGATGTTGCATCGATGCGTATTCCAGATTGCACTTCTTGGATTGCCAGTCTCAGTAGGAAATCATTTGTGCGTCTGAGCGCCCGCAACCAGTCGTTTGTAATGGGGGGGGTACCACGCCGATGAGGGAGGGTTCGAGTCCCCCCATACCACGCACTCTATTTGTCATACGTATGACATAGCGGAGTTTATACCACGAGGTATTGACAAGAAGTAACTTCCTGCTCGCATTGAGATTTGAGTGGCTAGAAACATCTGTGGCTAGGAGCCGTCAGGGTGATATAGTGGCCGAGATTCATTTGGTATTGAGATAAGAGCCTATCAAAGATAAATCACTTTTCGATGAGTACTTTCCGAGAAAAAACGTTTTTATTTTCATTATAACCTAAGCTCTCAATAGTAAGGACGATTTGCCCCATCCAACAATTATTTCTCCTGCTCATATTTTTTGTACGTATCGGCACCCAGGTGAGCCGACAAGGCACTATTATTAAGACGCATCACTGGCAGGAAGATGCTGGAGAATGAGCAGCGGCACCAAGAATATTGTGGACCGAACGTCTTCGACAAGGGATAATTTAAGGGGGAAATATGCAGCACTATAATATCAACAGCAGGTGACATCACCGCCACCATACATTACGATCATACGTCATCATAGGTAGCACCTACCAATATATTGGAGACGCAAGAGAGACATACTGGAGGCACAAGAAACACATTCTGATGACGGAGGCGTACAGATATAAAATTCATATTACACAGTCGTAAATGTCTCTCTTTTACCTTGAGACATATAATCCAGTCTCAGTTTGATCTTTTTCTGCCAAGGTTCCTCTCCAGCACAAACCCTGCAACAAACCGCATACCCCAAACCTCGGGCGTGTCAACTCCTATCCACAAGCGCAGGGATGTCAAGCCCGCGGCAATATCACAGGCTGTTGCTCGGATGAATTAGCGACTGTTAATGGAGAAGATATTTATGCAACGTAGTACGCTAATTGAGCTTAAAACAACGGAGTAGAATAAGCCGAGGGTCGTAGCTGATGCGTTTTTATTCGTGAAGAGAGATTTGACGCGAGTTGGTAAGGTGGGTATCACACAGTCAATATTATGTAATTATGGCGCACGTCGATAAGAAAGTGTCTACTACCGCCTGCCAGACGAAGCGCTCCTTTGCGTCTCCTGCACTGTGCGTGCACAGCTCATAGCGACGACAATATTCGTACAAATCGAGCGACCAAGATAACTGCTTTCCTAAACATATCGTAAAAGATTGACGACATGATATTTGTCCATTTGCAACGTTAACAATAATCACGCACCTCACAGAAAAACATAGTTGACGTAAAATGTGGTTTGAAGCCCTTCATCGAAAACAACATGACTCCACATGCCAGCAAGACCGTACCCAAGGGCGATTTCCGTAAGCGTACCCAGTCAACTACCCGAGAGGTACACATGAACCTTCTACTCAGGCGTGTCTTTCCATCGATCTTACAAAAACGTCCGATAGAAAATGCGGAGAAGCCAATATCTGTTCAACAAGACGAAGCAAAACCACTTTTCTGGTAAGTGAACAATACATCTATGCTGCCGGCACGAAAGATGTTACAGTATCAGACTCGTCAAGTAGCCAAACAACTTTGTGGACTTTAGCGTCTTTAATTTACGTTACCTGAAAGTATTCAGAGCGCAGTATGAGCACAGTGTGTTTACAACGGAGATGCTTGTTATAAGCGAGCCTCATTTATTCAAATGCTTCTGCAAAAACAAGCTGCACATCGTATTCCTTATTCTCCAGCAGGTCATGAATTAATTACAAGGGTAAGAGTAATAACAAACTACCCCACATGACAAAGGTAAGCTTCGTCACCCGGAAAATTTTCAAAGTTTAGGATATGTGCGAACAAAACGTACGACGGCTGAAATGTCGATTCAACCTTCCCAATGTGAATTTGGCATCGACTTTGATAAGTTAGACAGGACATATACCCTCTTTATATTGTCACAATTGCCTTCAACGTCTTAATTATTAAGACACGATATCAGTTTGTAATAGACCAATCAATAAGATTCAAACGAAATAGTTTTTAATCTTGTGGTACAATATTGATTATTTCTTATTTGGTGTATCCTTTGAATTTCTCATCTTGTGGTATATTTTTCACTTTCCTTAATTACATAATTTAGACCCACAAATCAGTAACAAATTTGGAGTAGTTACACAAGTCGTAATACTAATGTAGTTGGAGCAGTCTGCTCATTGGCTGGCTCAGACTATAGAATCAATCATCGAGTCCAGGCCTAAAAGACGGTCTATATTGGGTATACCAGGTAGTTGGGATACAGTTGATATTACAATTAGATGGGGGCAAGCTCTAGATTCCAATTTATGATATGAGCCATTTATTTCAGACAACCGATACAAGTCCCGTATATTTCTATACATTAACGGGAAGTTAGTGCTCGGGAATGAGGTTTCCTATGTATTCAGTAAATAAAGTGCTGATGGATTGCGTGTGTTAGTATTACTCATTGAAGTTATTATTTTGTAAAGAAGTAGAATGTGATAAAAAAGGAAGACAAAGGGTGATCGTGCCCGTATTACGACGTCAACCACAACGTACGACTCACGGCATTTCTAAATACTAAAAACAAAATTAAAAAGCAGAGAGAGATTTCTCTGCCAGAGCGACAGGGACGTGATCATCTTTTTATAATTTAGATGAGCAAGTACTATGGACGAAAACTTCGCACATACTATTATCCGAACGTGCGAGAATTTTGTTGCTATGAGTATCAAGCATATTTACTAGCCCTGTGTTTACCGTTATCAATTAATAGCCAATCATGTGCTAGCGTAAGTGTGTGTGACTTCCACTTACCGCGCGTTCACAATTCAAGACCTACTTAAATAGCGACACCTATATTGCATACCGACCAATAGGGAAATATACGTGCTACATCGAACTCAGATGACGTAAATGGTAGACCTACCTCTAGTCACAGAAAATCAGAGAGACGGAAATTGGGCTTCGCCAGTACATTGCGGACACGCACTAATAGCTTCACTATTGGGTCTGGCAATTATTTTGAGAAACTTTGGCGTCGACTTTACTCAGAAGAAATAATCAATTCTGAATAAAATCTATAGACTTCTAACTCGCGCATTTGTTGTGTCGTCCCATGCTCCTTTTCGTGTACGTGGGTTGCTAGGTACTTGTCCACACCGTGATCGATGGATGCAAGCTTATACCTGTGTCTAGAGCGAGGTGCCTCAACACAAAAAAGCAATGCATAAGAATGAAATTGACTTTGATTGGCCTGTGCAAAAAAGCTGTGACGTCAAGACTTCTGCTTTAAGCCTTACAGCGAAAAAATTTCTTGAGAGATGTTCGGGTGAGGTAGACGACGGCTTACCTTACCACCAATAATGTGTAATTCCTATTGCGTGTTAACATTCGTATCGCCCTAGAAATGATTATCATCGACGTGAGTCAAATTGATGTTACGGACTGACTTCATTATAGAACAATGATGCATTCATGTGCACGTTAAGGGACCGCATTTTATTACAGAGGGGTACCCGATTTTTTATAACATCCAGAATTCCATCCGATCTCTGTTTTTTTAGGCTGTACATTGAGGACTAATTTATATGTAAGCATATATATAGTCTTTTATGTGCAGCCTAAATGACACCTCAAGCGGGAACACGGGAAAGCGTTTGAGCTGCATATTAAGATCAGGCTATTCACTTGTTTTTTATGTGAGCTGCTTGCTTTTAGCAAGTCACTTCTTGTTCTAGATCCCTTGTGAGGTTAACGAAAGTAAACGCAGGGACTGCATTGACTCGACAACTCATGGCAATATGACCATGAGACTAGCGGCGTGTATGGTATTCGCACGAAGACGACATTTGCAAAGCGAACCCTGGCTACAATTAACACAACCTTTCCAGACCGTTCCATTTCAAGTGCAAGCAGCAGACAATGGATTAGCCTTATTTTTATTTGCTTGGTCGGTTTTTTTACTGCGACGACTGGAATTACAACCTACTCACCCACGGCCGTGCAAGGTATACCTAGATCCGTGTTGATCTGAGTTAATCTTGATCACCGCAATATAGTAGATGTCGCTCGTGGTTATCACTACCAGCCTAAATTGTGACACACCTCGCGACCAGCTTAAACATAGTGAACGAGCAAAGTAGTGGTAACGTTGCTGGTGTCGGGTCTCTACCGGAGTCGATGACAAAGTGCATTGCAGACAATTTCATGTATCGAAAGTATGATGACAGTATCCTTCCAGTTCGTATCAAAGCGCTCAAAATTGCGCCGAGTTGACGAGGTCCTGATCACTTTGTCGACAACGACGTCCTAAGTGCAAGCGTAATCCTGTCATCGCGGCTTAATTAGGTCATCTACGACGGATGTCACAAGCTCGAGGTTCGTAAGCCTTAACTCATCGCTGAGGATGCAAGTCGTAAGTACGTCGTCAGCCCAATGCCGCTAAACCGAGGCTGTCCACCGTGTCACGAATACCTTTTCCCAAACAAAATAGTGACATCTCACACATGAGTGCACAAGCCACGCGACTCGAGAGTCTCTTCCTGCTTGTACGAGGTGTGTGCTTGGTCGATTGCAAAGACCTACTTCCACCACTAAATGCAACACAAAGACGGGACTTCCATCTAACAACGTGTTTTTATCTCAACAGATGGAAGCAGCGCACAGGTCCGTGAAAACGCGGCCGAGAAATTGGGCGAAGTGGCCGCGCGCTCTCCCGAGATCTGCGCATCTATTTTGCAAAAGCTAAGGCCGCTGATTGTCGACGATGAGTGGGAAATCCGCGTGGCGGCTTCCAAGTGCCTCAACGTCGTGGCTCGTTCCTTGCGGACTGAGGACGAGAACGTCGCGACTGTTTTTGCGCTTGTCTCCCGTGAGTCGCTGTCGCTGGTATTTGCTAGCAAATTGGAGCGATGACACTGGAGAGGCAAATTCTATAACTCTTGTTGTTACTTGTAGTTGGAAGTCGTGAAGCTTTGCTGGTAGCGCTTGATTTGCAGACGGTGGACGTTTACAAGGTCGTGAAAGAAGGGGCACCACTTTTGCGAAGTGGGGGAGAGGTAAAATTACTGCAGTCTTTAAATACATTTCCATCTGTTGTAATTCTTGTAATATTGTGGGTGTGACAGGAGTACCAATACACGACGAATATGACGGAAGAAGTGCGACGAGTACAAGCAATAAAGCAACGCCGTCTGCTGTTACGACGTCTAAGTGGAATAGGCGAACCAATTTGGAATTCGCGCGAGGGTTCGCTGACAAAACAGCTGCTTCCTCGACTAAATCAAGCCTGTACGTGAGGTGAGATAGAGGACACACGTGCTCGGACACTGATTGCTTCATGGTTGTAAAATTGTAGATACCCACGAAATTGCAGATGATATAGAAAAGAGTGAAGCACAGTCTGCAGTTGGTAGTGAGCACAACGTACCTGCCGTCCAAGAAAATAAAGCGAGTGAGATCATGTTGGCTTTTCGAAGCTCTAAGCGCTCCTCAGAAAGTGATGATTTGCGTCACAACAAAAAGCGGATCTTAGGTGAAACTGACGGTAAAGCTGCAAGACTGGGTACAGAATCTACCGACAAAAAACAGTTGAGCAGCCTGCTTCAGGAAGCAGAGATGCAGACGAAGACGACAATTGTAGCGTGTTTGGTCTCTGATCTGTTCGAAAGCATGTTCGATTCGAAATGGGAAGTTCGTCATGGTGCACTCTTGTCATTGCGGCAGATTTTCATTTCGACTCATTTCACTGCCGCCATTGAAGCAGCTCGGCAAGCACAAGTCAGCACCGGCACACGGGAAAGTGTACTTGACAAGTGGCTGGAAGAGTGCTTAGTTCGGTGCATTTGCGTATTAGCGCTGGACCGGTTTGTGGACTATTCGGCCGACGGATCCATCTCTCCTGTTCGTGAAGTTTGTGCACAAGTTTTTGGACTTTTACTCGGCAGTGTGTCTGGCAAAAGCATGCTTGTTCGATACCTGCAAGTAGTGCGAACGTTATTCAGTGGTTTGACGTGGCATGCTTGTCATGGTGCTTTGTTGGGGTTGAAGTATCTTGTCCGAGCTCATTGCAATCATGGTCTAGTGCTGGTTCCTTTGTTTTTCAACGATATCGTGACGGTTTTTTCTCAAGCTGAAACAGAGGAAGATGTGTCGATTCTAGCTGCAGACATGATCAGGGATTTTGTCTTTTACTTGGATCAGGTCGAGCCGGCAGCCATCACAAAGACTGCTACGCTGTTGTGGAAATCCATGGAGCTTCACGAGAAAGTCGGTTTAATTGGTATCAGCGTAGTTCAAGCATTAAGCGCGTGGTATAATCATTCCCCAGTGGCATGGCTCTTGCAGCGTGACAAAGGAGTCAATGAAGCTCTTTGGCAAAATCTATCGTATACAATTCCAATGCTGCATCACCCCTTACAGTCCGTTCGGGTATCCAGTGCAACGTGCGCAGCGGCTATTCTGTCATGTGGGTCTACTTCCATGAACCCAAACGTAGTCTGCTTTGGTCGAGCCTTTTTGCCGCATTTGCTACTTCAAGTGCGTTTGGAGAAACATGAGCCTGTTCAACGAAGCCTGCTTTCTACGTGGAAACGAGTAGTAAGCACGTTGTCGAATGGTGCGCTGCTTGTGGACGTCGTGGCTGAATATCTTCCGATTTGGGCCAAGCTATTATGGTCCACAGATGAAATGCATTGTCTCGACGCTAAAGTGATTAAATCGGATGGAATGATGATCGATGCTAATGTAAGCGATTCGATAGAGCAAGCCGTCTGGGAGAGCATGACCTCCTGTGTGGCATTTGCTAAGGCAATCGGTTTGGTTGCTGCTCATATGCCTTATGATAACTCGTGCACAACTGAGCTAATCCAGCTATTCCACGATGGTGTACGCAGTAGATCTGGTAATCTGCAGTGCAGTGTTCTTCTTGCCTTATCAAACTGGGGCATCTACGAGAAGAAAATGAGTCGCAAAAACTTGGGAGAACACTCACGACGTTTGCAGTGGTTGCAGTCCGCGGTTGGAACGCTGATTGAATCGTTTGTGAAATGTCAATGGAAAACACTTCAGTTAGATACACAAAATGAGGCGGAATCAGCCATATACAGTGAACAGCGTGGATCCCTGAAGCGAGTCATGCAGATGGAAGCTCGAATTGTTGATCTATTTTCGTCTGTGGGCATTGCGCTTAAGCCTTCGAAAATATCGGGCTTGTCATCGACAGCAGACATTTCGCGCCAGATCGCCGAGCATGTTGCTCTTTTTCCCTACGACAAGTTGCGCAACCACCCAAAAGAATACGAACAAGCCCATTTCAAGCGACAGGATCTTTTTCTGGTGGATGAACGTGTGCAGCACAGTTTTTCTCGGTTGTATCACCGTGTACAAGGCCTTGGCAGTACCGCTTACTACGCGATACTGCCGACACCTAAAAAGTGCGGCTTCCTCGTCTCAGCACTGATGACCTCGATCAAAAATGAAGACGAACCAGCCATCCGCTCTATTTTGTCACGAACGATAGCAGATTTTGTGGTGAACAATGCAACAACTCAAAAAAAGTGTGTCTCAAAGATAGTCGTTAACTTATGCAACAACGCTGTGGCGTTGGTAGGCGTATCGGACGTGTGTCCGGATGGCGTATTTACCTACACTGGTTGTGAGGATAGCCGCAGTCCGTCGATTGCTCCTGAAATTCTCAAACAGACGAAGGCTCGGGTTGTTGGAGCTAATAGTGCGCTGCGTGAAATTTGCAAGTGTGGTGGCGCTTCTCTTTTCGAAGCGTGTCATGCCCTGGAGGATGCCATTTCCAAGGCTTGGACTCATCTACCTCTTGATGAGCTTACTATTCAACGGTGTATGCGCTTGATCGGTATAGTGGTGCCTCACCTTGAAGGGAACGCGATGGCTACATGCTTGGCGTGGATTGGGCATCTTGCACAATTAACGCAGCAGCAGTATGAAGATAAGCTGACACGGCGTGTTGTGGCTCAGGCTGTTGCTACAATCAGCAAGTATGCGGAAAAGCGTCATCGTACAGACGCGATGCTGTCTGTATACAGCTCTATTTTCGTGGTCTTTTCTAACACAGGCAATGCCAACGCCCGAAGAAAAGAAGCATTGGAAGGCGCAGTTATGGTACTCAGCTGCATCGTTCAAGCCCTTGGAGCAGATTTGGCGCCGTACGTACCAAGCCTCGTTCATTTTGCGATGAAGACCATGAGTTCACAGTTTGAACACGTTCGCTCGTGCGCTGCCGGGGCATTTGCCGATTTGGTTCCGTTGATTCCTCTTCAAATGGACCTTGAGCTTCGGGAGTCTGAGCAGCTACTTCCCGACTCGCTGAGAACGATCGTAAAGCAAAATGCCGTTTCACGTACCTTTCTGGACAGTTTTGCAGAGGGTAAGGCAATTGAGCAGACCAATGTTAAACCTTTGCTAGCTTGCGATACGTCATTGCGCTTGTACCAGCAACATGGCGTCGATTGGCTTTGCTTCATGATAAAGAACAATCTTCATGGGATTCTCGCTGATGATATGGGTCTCGGTAAGACGTTGCAAACACTGTCAGCCATGGCTGCTACGTCAGTGTCCTCAGCCACAAATGGAGGCGAGGTTACCGTGATGCCTTACCTTATTGTTTGTCCTCCGATCGTCACTCATCACTGGATACAAGAAGTCAACAAACATGTCCCGGAGTTCTTCGCATCCATCATCGACTACTCAGTCTCTGCGAGCGAACGAAAGTCTTTGCTCCGAAGTGATGGGAGGTCATTGTCGGACCGCTGTCCGACATTGATCGTAACAACGTACTCTATATTGCGCGCAGATATCCAGCTCCTGGGAAGTATTGATTACGCTTTCGTGGTATTGGACGAAGCGCATTTGATTCGAAATCCATCCACAGCTCTGTTTCAAGCAGTGCGTAAGCTTCAGGCGTCGCATCGTGTTGCCTTGAGCGGAACGCCATTGCAGAATAACGTCACCGATTTGTGGGCTCTCTTTGAGTTTTTGATGCCCGGGTACTTGGGCGACTTTGCTGCGTTTCGCCGCGAGTTTGTCCTCCCTATCACAAAGTCAGCACAACGAAACGCAACGACAAAGCAAAAGGAAATGGCAGCCGTAGCTATTGCGCGGTTACATCAGAAGGTGTTACCGTTTATTTTACGACGGACGAAGGACGAGGTGCTGAAAGAGCTTCCTCCGAAGATCATATCGAATGTCCTTTTACCCCTGTCACCATTGCAACAGCGCCTGTATTCGCTGACATCGTCGACAGAAAGTGAGAGCATGATTTCAGCGAGATGTTCTCGATCTACTAAGCCTAGAGCTGAAAAGATGGAGACAAAGATTAACGTGTTGGCGAATTTACAGCTACTGCGCAAAATATGTGTCCACCCAGCGCTTGTTGCAAACGACAAAGTTGCTAGGTCTCTTAACGCAACAGAGAAGGAAACTCTTTGGGACTGGAAGTGCTCAGGGAAAATGATGGGGTTGCGCGACCTTTTGGTCGAGTGCTGCGATGTCGCGCCGTGGGATCAAGGACTTTCACAGAGCGGTACTTCTGACACCCGCAATCTGGAAGCCAGCGAGGTTTCCCCTCATCGGTGTCTTGTGTTTGCTCATTTGCAGCAGACACTGGACTTCACTGAGCAAATGCTGCAAGATGCATTGCCTACAGTCACGTACCGTCGTCTCGATGGACGAACGCCACCTGCAAAGCGTGCCGATATCGTACAGTGCTTCAACTCTGATCCATCAATTGACATATTGCTATTGACCACGTCGGTAGGTGGATTAGGACTAACACTTACCGGCGCCGACACGGTTATTTTCATCGAGCACTCATGGAACCCCTTTGTTGATTTGCAAGCCATGGATCGTGCCCATCGCATCGGTCAAAAGCGGTCCGTTCGTGTTTTTCGATTGATTATGGAGGGATCTCTCGAAGAGCACATCGTCAATCTCCAAGAGTTTAAAGAACAAGTTGCAGCTACGGTAGTGCAGACGAGTGATGCTCGCAGTAGCATGAACACGAGCACGAAAGGTGTTCTGAATTTATTGCGAGCTTCATCGTCGGCGATGGTTGCTAAAGAGCTTCGTAGGTCAGTTTCAACGAGGAAATCTGGAGAAATTGATCGCGCAGCTGCTGCTCTTCCACAAGGCGCCAAAGAACTTATTGACCAGATTGGTGAGCTATGGGATGAGTCACAGTACGAATCTTTAGCTTTTCCTGATGTGATATGTGAGTAATATCGTAACTCGGTAAGTGTTCCTCCCACTTGAACCGACTCGGGTATAACTACGGGAGCAAACCATATTCTGCCCAATTGAGCGCGCGACCGAGGCCAAGTTAGATTTTGTCAACGTTGTAGGCCCGTACTAGAGGTCATATGGAACAATCAGGGTGGTCAACCGAAGCACAGGCATGCGAGTCATGGCCTCATTACCAAAAGTAGTGCAATAGTGTCTGGCATGGAGAGACGACCACCCCTGTGAAACGTAGTCCTTGATGTGCATTGCCTGCGCCCAGTGAGAGGCGTACTAGATTACGTGTTTGCAGTTTTTAGGAGCATGACAATACGCAGCTAAGTAATTTAAGACCTACGACGTTGCTATCCGAGTCGACTGTTGGATATCTATGTATGCATACTCATCTTAACTTTGCGTCTAACGCTTTATCGGTATTCGGCTCAGATGGTACGATTGGCCTCATGGAGGAGATGCATGTCCGCCAGTGGAACACATGCTTAATAATATGCACTGGAGGCAATAAAGTAGTTGTTGTCCAATGTTTGCGTCAGCTCGAGTAGGTTCTTCCTCAAAATGCTTCGAACTTGTAAGGTTAAAGAGCCCTATGAACCGCATTCCATTTGTTTCAGATCTTGTTGTGCTCAACTTGACTTCGATATGGCTTCTTTGCATTACAACCAACAGAGCAGGGTTTTACAACCAGTTTTTGGGCAAATTCTAAACGGCTGGGTCATTCTAATTCGTAATCAGAAGTAGTTCAGAAATACGCACAATTTCGTCAGGAGTAGATCCCAAATACTCAATGTACCATTCGTGTTTACTCACTTGCCTGTGCAAAGCTAAAAATAAAGATGTCAGTGCAATCCACTGCTAAACCGTTCTACGTCCATTACTTCCCGGAAGAACTCCAAGCCTATGAGTGACTGCAACACAGGTGCGTTTTAGTACGTACAAATGATCCATTCTAGGAAACCCTCAAAAGCGGTCTTGTCACCGCAGCAATCTTAGGCGTGCCGCATCTTCCCCGTCGTGCTAAATGACGATGCCACAAATACCTCCGACTCGAGTGAAAATGTGTTTTTTATGAACTGGGCCGTGCCCAGTATGCCCGCGTCGCCAACTGGATGGCGCGCTGATTCGTATTGGCAAATGGGCATCCGTCCAATTACAAGCAAGGTGGTGATTCCTTCAGTACGGGCACGATGACATGGAGATCGTGAAAGGCGAGCTTGATCTTTCACCGGATTATATGATTGGAAGAGCTAGTTTAATTATCAAGGCCAATGGTATCGAGGTCATGACGCCTACACCAAAGATGATTGATAAGCAAATACAAGTAAAGAGATTGAGTATCAGTTGAAGTCAGTGCGTACGCACATTCAAACTCATGCATTAGTCCGATACGTGGCTATTTTCATGATGCAGCTGTTGTGGCGCTTACGAAGTCAGAAGAACCGAATGGATTAAGTGCTAAAGTGATGAGTACCGCATCTGTGTAAATGCCATGAGTTGATATATACAGTCCGCTACCGATACACTGAGAATTCGTAACATGTGTGCGAATCTGTTATGTAGTTGGATTCGAAGGAGAAGTGATTCGACAATGTTGAGTGTAACGGGGTGAATCGTTACATAACAATTTATAAGAAATTGTTAATAGAATATAACTATAAGAGTTATATTCTCAGAATATTGTCATAAGGACAAATATTCTGTAGCACTTACAAGTAGTTCCTAATTGGTTGATATAGGCCATTATATCAACCAACGAAGACGCGCCACGACAGACGCACGCAATGAGTGGTGAGCAGATAACTGATTTACACATTTGTATTTAGACATAGTTAGATGAAGATAAATAGTGATTTCTTGCAGACATTAACTATGATAAATACAGTTCTACTTTTTACTCTAACCAAGTACTCACTTCTTCTTACCGTCTTCCTCTGCACGTAAGAGTGTACGTGAAGTTACGAGGCACCGCCTTATTCTGTCATCAGAGTAAGTAGCTTGTACTGTCACCAGTACAAGCTTCAGGGTGCCCCGTTACACCTGGTAGCACTTCGTAGTCCGTCCAAGGACCGCGTTCACATCCAACATGAATATGTTGGATGATGAAGATGACCAAAGTTTTCACGCTACGCGTGACGGCTACTCCCATTTGAGCGATGTCGAATGGGATGCGGTTGAACGAATGGGTTCGACCATGGGCATCCATGCTGTTAGCGTCATGCTAGAGGCTCTCAATAGAGATGCCCAACATGCTACTATCGCCAAGTTCATTCAAAATGAACTTGACGCTGAACGCGAGAAAGTAGCCTTGCTTCACCAACAAGGTTCTCAACAAGCAGAGTTGTTGAGAGAACAAGATGCTCAACAGTTTGAACTGTTGAGACAGCAACAGGCTGCTGCTGGCGGGTCGATGCACTCGCGTCGACCCGAGACTTTGAAGATTGACATCTCAAAGTATAAGGGAGTCGAAGAGGACTCCCTCCTGAGATAGTTTGTTGAATCAGACGACGCCGTAAGGGCGCGTCGCATCGACGACGGGGATATGCAAGCTGCAATTGCCCAATCAAATCTGGCAGGACGTGCCAAGACTTGGGCTTTGGGGCTCAAGTTGCACGACCCACATGCGTTTGGGTCGTTAGGAAGTCTTCAAGTCGCGGCTCAGACAAACGTTTGAACCGCCTAGAGCTGAGTTCAGGGCTCGAACCGAACTCTTGAAGCTCAAACAGGGTAAGCGTGATGTGCACGCTTACGCCCAACATATACGACATCTTACGAGTTGTATAAGTTCCAACCTGGTTGATGAACACACGTTGGTTTCGGTGTTCATGCAGGGTCTTGCGGATGGTCCCGTCAAGACTCACCTGTTCCGGCTTGAACTAGATTCACTAGAACAAGCCATTTCCATTGCGGAGCAGGAAGACTTCAGTCTGAGACAGGCTCGCGCCAGCTCGACATCATATCGTCAACCGAGACGATATGACAACGGAGGTCCAGAGCCGATGGAATTCTGTTATGTAGAGAGCGAGAAGGATCGCTCTACAGGCTACAAGAAGTTGCAGAGATGCAACAGATGTCAAAAGACAGGACACTACGCTTACGAGTGTAGTGCCCCTCGTCCGGTGTCTCGCAACACTGGGCGTAGTGACCGTCCACCCATGAGAAAGAGGCAGGGACGCGGGTCCGCTGCTGGTGCAAAGACACAACAACGGGATGGACCGTCAGAAAACGGACAGGATCAGCAGGTGCGGAGCACCCTACTGGTCCAGCAACGTCAAGAGAATTTGTGGGCCTCTTGATTAAGGTTGCTCCCAACACACAAAAACTGTGCGTTGCTGCTCTAGGTAATGAGATCTCACTCATTACCTTGAAACTCGAAGTGACAAACAACTTGTCCCTTCGAGCTCTAGTCGATTGTGGGGCGTCCAACAATTTTGTGCGACGCCAATCGCTAGAAGATGGTCACTTTAAATTCAGTGAATGTGACACACCTCCTACGAGGATGACGGTACGTCTTGCGACAGGCGCATCCGTAACCGTCATGAAGCGTATAGTGAAGATCCACTGTACGCTAGAAGATACCCAATATGACGATGACTTTATTGTATTGGATTTGGACGACAAATTTGATGTCATCCTTGGAATACCGTGGCTCAGAAGGTACGAACCACGGGTAAACTGGCAACATCGAACAGTAACGATGCCTGCCGCTTGTTCATCAGATGGCCATCTGATGAACGTTTTGGAGCGTCCACAAGCGTGTGGATGTACTACGAGTGAGTGCGATGGCCTCACTTGTGGTACGGTCGTTAGTACGACTGCACAAAACCTTAGTGTAACAAACGGTTACACTTCGGAGCAAAGTTCCGGCGGCTGTGAGGAAACACAGGCTGCGCCGAAGGTCCACCACTCGAATAAGTCGGGTGGACTGGGACAAAGATGTATCCCTAGCGGGGAACATCTAGAAGAGAAACAATCGATCGCTCAGGTTAAGCGAAACAATAATCCTAGATCGACTGGAGAGTCTTTCGTTGATGATCTCGCTGTGGTTGCGCAACCCCAGCTAGAGGAAGTAAAGGGAATAAGTCCCAAGATTACGAATATGGCGGAAATAAGTTCCCCGAAACCCGCGGGAATAAGTCCCCGGGAAGACGAAGGAATAAGTCCTTCGAAGCCTGAGGGAATAGGTCCCCAGGAAATGACAGAGACATTGAATGTCATAGTCAATAACGGATCAAGTGTAGGCGCTTATACACTTGATCTGATTGCGCCTCCGAAGTTAACTTCGGAGATCACTCAGTTGCCAACGCTCGAACATAAAAGGTTCTTGCGTGATCTGCGTAGTGGCAAAGTCAAGCAGATCTGCATACTCGTCGCTGACGACGAGTGTGTAACCGACATAAGGTCAGCAACAGTGTTTACTGAGAACGAGAGAGTTCTCAGTAGTTCATCGATGGGCGAGAGCGTCCTAGATGAAAAGACACGAGTTGAGCGATATGACTCCCAATCATGGGAATCGCTCAAGACAAATCCTCTCTATGAAGATTTGGTTGAATTCAAGGATGTATTCCCTGAAACTGTTCCGTGCGAATTACCGAAGGATAAAGGTACCCGACACGAGGTCGAGCTTAAACCAGGCTCGAAGTACTGTGTCATGAAGCAGTGGCCACTGCCTCGTGAACAAGTACTCGCGATCGACAAATTCTTTGCCGATCGTTTAGCTGTGGGCCATGTGAGGGAATCAACTTCCCCACATAGCTCTCCGACCTTCTGTGTGCGAAAAGCAACAGGAGGGTGGCGGATAGTGCATGCGTTCAACAAATTGAACGCTGCAACGGTACCGGCTCAGACGCCGATACCGAGGAAGGACGTAATCATTGATGGTATGTCAAAGAGTACCATCTTTTCGTCCATGGATTTGATGGATGGCTTCTATCAAATCCTAATGCGGGAACGGGATATACCCTATACCGCAGTTAGCACGCCTAGCGGCATGCTCTGGGAATGGCTAGTAATGCCACAAGAGCTTAGTAATGCCCCTGCCACGTTCAACAGATGTGTATCACATCTGTTGAGACCAGTACGAGAATTCGCGCCGAGTTATTTCGATGACGTATTCATCCATAGTCGAGCTATGGATGGAAAGTCGGACGTTGAGGTTCACAGGTACCACGTCCGACAAGTTCTTACAATCATGCGAAAGCATCAATTGTATGCTAACCTCAAGAAGTGTATATTTGCAGCAAGCGAAATACCACTTCTTGGGTGCATCGTTGGTAAGAACGGTGTACGTCCTGATCCCGAAAAGATCAAGGCGATCACCGACTGGGCTGTGCCAGTTGATGTCAAAGGTCTTCGAAAAATCCTTGGGCTAGCGGCGTATTTGCATAAGTATTCACGCAACTACGCCGAGATGACTGTGCACCTCTCTCGTTTGTTGAAAAAGAACGAGAGGTGGTTATGGAACGCTGAATGTCAACGCCCCTTTGAGGATATCAAGCAGAGCTTGATACAATCCCCAGTCCTAGCAATAGCCGATCAGGACAGACCATTTCATGTGGTCTGTGATGCCAGCGATTTCGCAATCGGCTGTGCACTAATGCAGTACGATCTTGAAAGCGTTGAACGCGTCGTCTGCTATCAGTCGCGTCAGCTGCAACCAGCTGAGCGGAACTATCCAGTGCATGACAAGGAACTCCTTGCCATGAAGTATGCACTCGCGAAGTTCAGAGTCTATCTATTAGGAGATAGACCTTTTATTGTTTACACTGACCATGCGTCATTACGCACGGCAGTGAACAGCCCGCACCTTTCACAACGAATGGCGCGGTGGTTGTCATTCTTTGCGGAATACAACTTTACGGTTGAGTACAAACCAGGACGACTTAATGTCGTCGCTGATGCACTCTCACGTCGTCCCGACTTTGAAACAGTCGCGAAACCCAACAGTGAGACAGCCACTGTTGCAGTTATGACGTCCTCAGTCCCATCTTCAACGTTGCATGATGATGTGAGGCGGGCGTATACCCAAGATGGTGAGATTGTGAAGTTGTTGACACATCTCTCCCAACCATCCCGAGAATCGTTGAAACGATTGTCGTCTGCGTATCGATCTGCATCAGATCGATACACTACTCGTAACGGTTTACTGTATTATACAGCCGTTTCTGGTGACACACCACGTGTTGTCATCCCAAATGATACTGATCTGCGTTTGCGGATCATGTTCGAGTATCACGATGCTCCTATAGGAGGACATCGTGGCCGAGAGAAAACATATCTCACGGTAAGTCGAGACTTTTACTGGCCCCGCCAGTATCAGTTTGTGCGAAAGTATGTTCGCGCATGTGAAGTCTGTCAACGAGTGAAGTCAAGTCCTTCACTGCGTGCAACTTTACAGCCTCTACCGGTTCCGGCTGAGTGCTGGGAATCCATCTCAATGGATTTCGTCTTCGGGTTACCCAAAGACGCACGCGGGAATACGGGTATTCTCGTATTTGTTGACAGATTCAGCAAAATGGTACACCTTGTGGCTGTACCAGAGACAATCACGGCAAGTGGCTGTGCTTGTGTCTTTATTGACACGATCTTCCGACTTCATGGTTTGCCCCGTGAACTCGTATCAGACAAAGATCCACGATTCACTGCTGATTTCTGGCGTTCCGTGTTCAAATCACTCGGAACGCGCTTGAAGATGTCAACATCTGATCATCCAGAGTCAGATGGTCAGACGGAACGTGCCAATCGTGTCCTTGAAGAGATACTTCGAGGATACGTACACTCCTTTAAGATTCGGAGTGAGTTCTTGTCCATGGTAGAGTTTGCCATTAACAACTCGGTGCATGCGTCCACGACACATACACCGTTCTACGTGAATGGCTTGCGCCATCCACGTGTACCCACCTTACCCGAGTGCAACTCTGGTTTAAGGGGGGAGAGACTCGCGCGAGCAAAAACCGATTTGGTTCACGCTCATCACGCTCTGACGAAGAGGTCATTGCGTTTGATGCCGATATCGATAACATCGATATCGAAGAAGATGATGCCAGTGAGAGTGCGGAAGCCCTCACTGAAGACAATGATCCCAGTGAGAGTGCGGAAGCCCTCACTGAAGAAAAGGTTGTTGTTGCTGCAGTGCGCTCACAGCACACTGAAGCTAACGTGTCATCAGATAAATTCATACTGGCTCGTGAAACGGTAGTCCGTTTCGTGCAAGACTCCATCGCCAAAGCGGTGGATAAGCAAAAGCAAAACGCTGACAAGAATGGAAGGGCAAATACTCTTTTATTTAATAAAGGTGACTTAGTCCTACTGTCTACGGTTAATCTACCAAAGCATGTAGTGACTAACTTGGGTAGCATTAAACTTCTACCCAAGTACATCGGCCCATTTCGTGTCTTGCATCGCCTAGGCAATGCATACACGATCGAACTGCCACGTAAGATGCGAACGCATCCCACGTTTTACGTTGGTCGGCTTAAGCCGTACCATCAGTACGCTGCTTCTTCCGATGAAGAACGCCCTTGCGCGCAAGCATCTCACAGAGGGCCTTGTGCTCCCGATGGTGGATATCGACAAGGGTCTGAAGCGCAGTTATCTCAGCCCGAGACCACTCAACATCCCCACGAGCTACCCTTAGCTCTTCACGAATAGATGTCAGAGCTCTCTCGTTCTCAAGCTGAGCAAAGGCAAACTCAGCTCGATGCTTCAAGACAGTGTCCACCATTTGGAGACGCCTATTCCGCTCATGCTCGAGATCGTCGCGTAACCCTTGCGTTACGCGATCAAAGAAGCTCTCAGGAACACACCGATCCACATGATCGTGTGGAGAGTGTTTTCCCTCCTCCTCCACCTCCTTTGGAGGACTCTCGCGGTGGCCAGCGCTATCTGATCGAGAGGCTGTTGAACCACCGCGATGTGAATGGACGTCGGACGAGTTATCTCGTCCGGTGGCGCGGCTATCCCCCGTCCTGAGATACTTGGGAGCCCCACTCCCAACTTATGATCGACGTACTGGGTCTGGTTGAGCAGTACGACGCGGCACATCCTGTGCCGCAGAAGGACCGCCGGAGAAAGTCTTCCCGGCATGGTCGTAAAGGGATTTCAGGTTGTCAATCCCTTCGTGCATCTCAGTAGAGATACTTACGCGCCATCACGGGCTAGTAAGAAGGTAAGCCTCCTTAGGTGCTCGCGCAGAGTTGTTCACACAACATGGGCACGAGTCTCCTCAGGAGAGACAGGGTAACCCACCCTCCTTAGACAGACGATGCAGCTTATAGCGTGCACCTGTCGGGGTTCGCTTTTCAAACTTATCACGAGCTTTGATAAGTTTGTCGTTCCAAGCGTCACGACCTACATCCTCGAGGTTATGGATGTAGGCGTTCCACGCTTGAAGTAGTGAGGGACCATCACGCTTGTGGTTCCCACTGTACCATCGATGTCTGAAGAAAGCATCGATGAAGAATTCGTGTTCAGCGCGATAGTTTTTCGCGCTGGGGTCAAGGTGATGGATCCTTGACGAATCGAACAATCGTGTTCGATAACGATCACTCGTCGTCGCCGACAAGTGATCCATGACGGATTTCGGAGGCATCCATGCCTTCTTTTCTGGAGCGAGACGCAACACATTGCGGTCCCGCTCTTCCTGCGACGTGCCAACAGAAGTACTGGCACCTCGCTGTGAAGTGGTGTCCACAGGAGAACCGACACCACTATTAGCGCCCGAGTCTCGCGACCTCGAGCGCCTTCGCTTCGGCGATGGTTCATCTGATTCATCAGATGAACCAAAGATGCTGCGACGCAAAGCATCGTCCATTCCACGCTTGGCTGGCGGCTTAGATTCAATCGCCGTCGAAACGGATCCGTCATCAGTATCAGGAGAGTACGAGACACCGAGCTCGTACTCTGTGAAGACATGAGTGTCTTCATGACCAGCGCCTGCGTCACCAAGTGACACAGGCTGAGTCGCTTCAGCAACCGATGGGACATCAGTTGCTGTTGTTTATGCTTCGGCGTCCGCACAGAGACGTGCAGACGCGCTCTCGGCGGCCTTGCTCGCGCATCGCATGGGCTTGTTAACCATGCGATGAGATGTTGGAAAGTGGACGCGGACCAACAAGTGCAAACCCTGTCCCAAATGATTTGGGACGAGTATCCATTTAGTCAATCAGTCACTAAAGTGACTGATGGTTAAGGGGGGGGTGATGTAACTGGGTGAACCGTTACATAACAATTTATAAGAAATTGTTAATAGAATATAACTATAAGAGTTATATTCTCAGAATATTGTCATAAGGACAAATATTCTGTAGCACTTACAAGTAGTTCCTAATTGGTTGATATAGGCCATTATATCAACCAACGAAGACGCGCCACGACAGACGCACGCAATGAGTGGTGAGCAGATAGTTGATATGCACATTTGTATTCAGACATAGTTAGATGAGGATCAATAGTGGTTTCTTGCAGACATTAACTATTATAAATACAGTTCTACTTTTTACTCTAACCAAGTACTCACTTCTTCTTACCGTCTTCCTCTGCACGTACGAGTGTACGTGAAGTTACGAGGCACCGCCTTATTCTGTCATCAGAGTAAGTAGCTTGTACTGTCACCAGTACAAGCTTCAGGGTGCCCCGTTTCATTGAGAGAAAATAATTGCCAAGTGATCATTTGGCGATTAAGGACTCTGCCATTTTTGAACTGGCGGTAATCGAAGGCCGCTTGCTTGACGTGCCGTAGACTCTTGCACGCGAGTGGCAGCACCGTAGATGATTATGAATTTGAGAGATGTATCGACGGATAATCTTGGTGCCGCAGGCAGCGTGAATCAGCCCATCCTTACATCTTTATTGCGTGACAAAATGTGACCGATTTGAACGATGTGAGGGGAAGCCAGAATTTGGCGCTGCATTAATGCGTGCACCTCGTGATACTTTACACTGGCAAGTGAGTAAACACTCATGGTGAATATAGTAATTGGGATTTGCTCCTGAACAAATTAAGCGCACGTCTGAGCAACTTCCGATAACGAATCAGAATGACCCAATCGAATAAAATTGAACCCATCCGTTTAGCATTTGCCATTTTTTACGAGCTAAGGTGCGCAATGTAACGGGGTGAACCGTTACATAACAATTTATAAGAAATTGTTAATAGAATACAATAACAAGAGTTAAATACTCAGAATTTTGTCATAAGCACAATATTCTGCAGCACTTACGAGTAGTTCCTGATTGGTTGATATATGCCATTATATCAACCAACGAAGACGCGCCACGACAGACGCACGCAATGAGTGGTGAGCAGATAGTTGATATGCACATTTGTATTCAGACATAGTTAGATGAGGATAAATAGTGATTTATTAACAGACATTAACTATGATAAATACAGTTCTACTTTTTACTTTGATCAAGTACTCGCTTCTTCTTACCTTCTTCCTCTGCACGTACGAGTGTACGTGAAGTTACGAGGCACCGCCTTATTCTGTTACACCTGGTAGCACTTCGTAGTCCGTCCAAGGACAAAGTTCACATCTAACATGAATATGTTAGATGATGATGATGACCAAAGCTTTCACGCTACGCGTGATGGCTACTCCCATTTGAGCGATGTCGAATGGGATGCGGTTGAACAGATGTGTTCAACCATGGGCATCCATGCTGTTAGCGTCATGCTAGAGGCTCTCAATATAGATGCCCAACATGCTACTGTCGCCAAGTTCATTCAAAATGAACTTGACGCTGAACGCGAGAAAGTAGCCTTGCTTCACCAACAAGGTTCTCAACAAGCAGAGTTGTTGAGAGAACAGGGTGCTCAACAGTTTGAACTGTTGAGACAGCAGCAGGCTGATGCTGGTGGGTAGATGCACTCGCGTCGACCCGAGAACTTAAAGATTGACATCTCCAAGTATAAGGGAGTCGAAGAGGACTCCCTCCTGAGATTGTTTGTTGAATCAGACGACGCCGTAAGGGCGCGTCGCATCGACGACGGGGATATGCAAGCTGCAATTGCCCAATCAAATCTGGCAGGACGTGCCAAGACTTGGGCTTTGGGGCTCAAGTTGCACGACCCACATGCGTTTGGGTCGTTAGAAAGTCTTCAAGTCGCGGCTCAGACAAACGTTTGAACCGCCTAGAGCTGAGTTCAGAGCTCGAACCGAACTCTTGAAGATCAAATAAGGTAAGCGTGATGTGCACGCTTACGCGCAACATATACGACATCTCACGAGTTGCATAAGTTCCAACCTGGTTGATGAACACACGTTGGTTTCGGTGTTCATGCAGGGTCTTGCGGATGGTCCCGTCAAGACTCACCTGTTCCGACTTGAACTGGATTCACTAGAACAAGCCATTTCCATTGCGAAACAGGAAGACTTCAGTCTGAGACAGGCTCGCGCCAGCTCGACAGCATATCGTCAACCGAGACGATATGACAGCGGAGGTCCAGAGCCGATGGAATTATGTTATGTAGAGAGCGAGAAGGCTCGCTCTACAGGCTACAAGAAGTTGCAGAGATGCAACAGATGTCAAAAGACAGGACACTACGCTTACGAGTGTAGTGCCCCTCGTCCAGTTTCTCGCAACACTGGGCGTAATGACCGTCCACCCATGAGAAAGGGGCAGACACGCGGGTCCGCTGTTGTCGCAAAGACACAACAACGGGATGGACCGTCAAAAAACGGACAGGATCAGTAGGTGCGAAGCACCCTTCTGGTCCAGCAACGTCAAGAGAATATGTGGGCCTCTTGATGAAGGTTTCTCCCAACGCACAAACGTTGTGCGTTGCTGCTCTAGGTAATGAGGTCTCACTCATTACCTTGAAACTCGAAGTGACAAATAACTTGTCCCTTCGAGCTCTAGTCGATTGTGGGGCGTCCAACAATTTTGTGCGACGCCAGTCGCTAGAAGATGGTCACTTTAAATTCAGTGAATGTGACACACCTCCTACGAGGATGACGGTACGTCTTGCGACAGGCGCATCCGTAACCGTCATGAAGCGTATAGTGAAGATCCACTGTACGCTAGAAGATACCCAATATGACGATGATTTTATCGTACTGGATTTGGATGACATATTTGATGTCATCCTTGGAATACCGTGGCTCAGAAGGTACGAACCACGGGTAAACTGGCAACATCGAACAGTAACGATGCCTGTCGCTTGTTCATCAGATGGCCATCTGATGAACGTTTTGGAGCGTCCACAAGCGTGTGGATGTACTACTAGTGAGTGCGATGGCCTCACTTGTGGTACGGTCGTTAGTACGACTGCACAAAACCTTAGTGTAGCAAACGGTTACACTTCGGAGCAAAGTTCCGGCGGCTGTGAGGAAACACAGGCTGCGCCAAAGGTCCACCACTCGAATAAGTCGGGTGGACCGGGAAAAAGATGTATCCCTAGCGGGGAACATCTAGAAGAGAAACAATCGATCGCTCAGGTTAAGCGAAACAATAATTCTAGATCCACTGGAGAGTCTTTCGTTGATGATCTCGCTGTGGTTGCGCAACCCCAGCTAGAGGAAGTTAAGGGAATAAGTCCCGATATTACAGATACGGTGGAAATAAGTTCCCCGAAATCCGAGGGAATAAGTCCCCGGTAAGCCGAAGGAATAAGTTCTTCGAGGCCTGAGGGAATAAGTCCCCAGGAAATGACAGAGACATTGAATGTCCTAGTCAATAACGAATCAAGTGTAGGCGCTTATACACTTGATCTGATTGCGCCTCCGAAGTTGACTTCGGAGATCACTCAGTTGCCAACGCTCGAACATAAAAGGTTCTTGCGTGATCTGCGTAGTGGCAAAGTCAAGCAGATCTGCGTAGTGGCAAAGTCAAGCAGATCTGCGTACTCGTCGCTGATGATGAGTGCGTAGCCGACATAAGGTCAGCAACAGTGTTTACTGAGAACGAGAGAGTTCTCAGTAGTTCATCGATGGGCGAGAGCGTCCTCGATGAAAAGACACGAGTTGAGCGATATGACTCCCAACCGTGGGAATCGCTCAAGACAAATCCTCTCTATGAAGATTTGGTTGAATTCAAGGATGTATTCCCTGAAACTGTTCCGTGCGAATTACCGAAGGATAAAGGTACCCGACACGAGGTCGAGCTTAAACCAGGCTCGAAGTACTGTGTCATGAAGCAGTGGCCACTGCCTCGTGAACAAGTACTCGCGATCGACAAATTCTTTGCCGATCGTTTAGCTGTGGGCCATGTGAGGGAATCAACTTCCCCACAAAGCTCTCCGACCTTCTGTGTGCGAAAAGCAACAGGAGGGTGGCGGATAGTGCATGCATTCAACAAGTTGAATGCTGTAACGGTACCGGCTCAGACGCCGATACCAAGGAAGGACGTAATCATTGATGGTATGTCAAAGAGTACCATCTTTTCGTCCATGGATTTGATGGATGGCTTCTATCAAATCCTTATGCGAGAACGGGATATACCCTAGACCGCAGTTAGCACGCCTAGCGGCATGCTCTGGGAGTGGCTAGTAATGCCACAAGAGCTTAGTAATGCCCCTGCCACGTTCAACAGATGTGTATCACATCTGTTGAGACCAGTACGAGAGTTCGCGCCGAGTTATTTCGATGACGTATTCATCCATAGTCGAGCTATGGATGGAAAGTCGGACGTTGATGTTCACAGGTACCACGTCCGACAGGTTCTTACAATCATGCGAAAGCATCAATTGTATGCCAATCTCAAGAAGTGTATATTTGCAGCAAGCGAAATACCACTTCTTGGGTGAATCGTTGGTAAGAACGGTGTACGTCCTGATCCCGAAAAGATCAAGGCGATCACCGACTGGGCTGTGCCAGTTGATGTCAAAGGTCTTCGAAAAATCCTTGGGCTAGCGGCGTATTTGCATAAGTATTCACGCAACTTCGCCGAGATGACTGTGCACCTCTCTCGTTTGTTGAAAAAGAACGAGAGGTGGTTATGGAACGCTGAATGTCAGCGCTCCTTTGATGGTGTCAAGCAGAGCTTGATACAATCCCCAGTCCTAGCAATAGCCGATCAGTACAGGCCATTTCATGTGGCCTGTGATGCCAGCGATTTTGCAATCGGCTGTGCATTAATGCAGTACGATCTTGAAAGCGTTGAACGCGTCGTCTGCTATCAGTCGCGTCAGCTGCAACCAGCTGAGCGGAACTATCCGGTGCATGACAAGAAACTTCTTGCCATGAAGTATGCACTCGCGAATTTTAGAGTCTATCTATTAGGAGATAGACCTTTTATTGTTTACACTGACCATGCGTCATTACGCACGGCAGTAAACAGCCCGCACCTTTCACAACGAATGGCGCGGTGGTTGTCATTCTTTGCGGAATACAACTTTACGGTAGAGTACAAACCAGGACGACTTAATGTCGTCGCTGATGCACTCTCACGTCGTCCCGACTTTGAAACAGTCGCGAAACCCAACAGTGAGACAGCCACTGTTGCAGTTATGACGTCCTCAGTACCATCTTCAACGTTGCATGATGATGTGAGGCGGGCGTATGCCCAAGATGGTGAGATAGTGAAGTTGTTGGCACATCTCTCACAACCATCTCGAGAATCGTTGAAACGATTATCGTATGCGTATCGATCTGCATCAGATCGATACACTACTCGTAACGGTTTACTGTATTATACAGCCGTTTCTGGTGACACACCACGTGTTGTCATCCCAGATGATACTGATCTGCGTTTGCGGATCATGTTCGAGTATCACGATGCTCCTATAGGAGGACATCGTGGCCGAGAGAAAACATATCTCACGGTGAGTCGAGACTTTTACTGGCCCCGCCAGTATCAGTTTGTGCGGAAGTACGTTCGCGCATGCGAAGTCTGTCAACGAGTGAAGTCAAGTCCTTCACTGCGTGCACCTTTACAGCATCTACCGGTTCCGGCTGAGTGCTGGGAATCCATCTCAATGGATTTTGTCTTCGGGTTACCCAAAAACGCACGCAGGAATACGGGTATTCTCGTATTTGTTGACAGATTCAGCAAAATGGTACACCTTGTGGCTGTACCAGAGTCAATCACGGCAAGTGGCTGTGCTTGTGTCTTTATTGACACCATCTTCCGACTTCATGGTTTGCCCAGTGAACTCGTATCAGACAAAGATCCACGATTCACTGCTGATTTCTGGCGTTCCGTGTTCAAATCACTCGGAACGCGCTTGAAGATGTCGACATCTGATCATCCAGAGTCAGATGGTCAGACGGAACGTGCCAATCGTGTCCTTGAAGAGATACTTCGAGGATACGTACACTCCTTTAAGATTCGGAGTGAGTTCTTGTCCATGGTAGAGTTTGCCATTAACAACTCGGTGCATGCGTCCACGACACATACACCGTTCTACGTGAATGGCTTGCGCCATCCACGTGTACCCACCTTACCCGAGTGCAACTCTGGTTTAAGGGGGGAGAGACTCGCGCGAGCAAAAACCGATTTGGTTCACGCTCTGACGAAGAGGTCATTGCGTTTGGTGCCGATATCGACAACATCGATATCGAAGAAGATGATGCCAGTGAGAGTGCGGAAGCCCTCACTGAAGAAAAGATTGATGTTGCTGCAGTGCACTCACAGCGCACTGAAGCTAACGGGTCATCAGATAAATTCATACTGGCTCGTGAAACGGTAGTCCGTTTCGTGCAAGACTCCATCGCCAAAGCGGTGGATAAGCAAAAGCAAAACGCTGACAAGAATGGAAGGGCAAATACTCTTTTATTTAATAAAGGTGACTTAGTCCTACTGTCTACGGTTAATCTACCAAAGCATGTGGTGACTAACTTGGGTAGCATTAAACTTCTACCCAAGTACATCGGCCCATTTCGTGTCTTGCATCGCCTAGGCAATGCATACACGATCGAACTGCCACGTAAGATGCGAACGCATCCCACGTTTTACGTTGGTCGGCTTAAGCCGTACCATCAGTACGCTGCTTCTTCCGATGAAGAACGCCCTTGCGCGCAAGCATCTCACAGAGGGCCTTGTGCTCCCGATGGTGGATATCGACAAGGGTCTGAAGCGCAGTTATCTCAGCCCGAGACCACTCAACATCCCCACGAGCTACCCTTAGCTCTTCACGAATAGATGTCAGAGCTCTCTCGTTCTCAAGCTGAGCAAAGGCAAACTCAGCTCGATGCTTCAAGACAGTGTCCACCATTTGGAGACGCCTATTCCGCTCATGCTCGAGATCGTCGCGTAACCCTTGCGTTACGCGATCAAAGAAGCTCTCAGGAACACACCGATCCACATGATCGTGTGGAGAGTGTTTTCCCTCCTCCTCCACCTCCTTTGGAGGACTCTCGCGGTGGCCAGCGCTATCTGATCGAGAGGCTGTTGAACCACCGCGATGTGAATGGACGTCGGACGAGTTACCTCGTCCGGTGGCGCGGTTATCCCCCGTCCTGAGATACTTGGGAGCCCCACTCCCAACTGATGGTTGACGTACTGGGTCTGGTCGAGCAGTACGACGCGGCACATCCTGTGCCGCAGAAGGACCGCCGGAGAAAGTCTTCCCGGCACGGTCGTAAAGGGATTTCAGGTTGTCAATCCCTTCGTGCATCTCAGTAGAGATACTTACGCGCCATCACGGGCTAGTAAGAAGGTAAGCCTCCTTAGGTGCTCGTGCAGAGTTGTTCACACAACATGGGCACGAGTCTCCTCAGGAGAGACAGGGTAACCCACCCTCCTTAGACAGACGATGCAGCTTATAGCGTGCACCTGTCGGGGTTCTCTTCTTAAACTTATCACGATCTCTGATAGGTTTGTCGTTCCAAACGTCACGACCTACATCCTCAAGGTTATGGATGTAAGCGTTCCACGCTTGAAGCAGTGAGGGACCATCACGTTTGTGATTCCTACTGTACCATCGATGTTTAAAGAAAGCATCGATGAAGAACTCATGTTCAGTGCGATAGTTTTTCGCACTGGGGTCAAGGTGATGGATCCTTGACGAATCGAACAACCGTGTTCGATAGCGATCACTTGTCGTCGCCGACAAGTGATCCATGACAGATTTGGGAGGCATCCATGCCTTCTTCCCGGGAGCGAGACGCAACACACTGCGGTCCCGCTCTTTTTGCGACGTGCCGACAGAAATACTGGCACCTCGCTGCGAAGTGGTGTCAATAGGAGAACCGACACCACTGTGAGCGCCCGAGTCTCGCGACCTCGAGCGCCTTCGCTTTGGCGATGGTTCATCAGATTCGTCAGATGAACCAAAGATGCTACGACGCATAGCATCATCCATGCCATGCTTGGCAGGCGGCTTGTTTGATTTCAACCGTTTTCGATACAGATCCGTCTTCCGTATCAGGAGAGTATGAGACACCGAGCTCGTACTCTGTGAAGACATGAGTGTCTTCATGAAGATCGCCTGCATCACCAGGTGACACAGGCTGAGTCGCTTCAGCAACCGATGAGACATTAGCTGCTGTGGTTTCTGCTTCGGCGTCCGCACAGAGACGTGTGGACGCGCTCTCGGCGGCCTTGCTCGCGCACTGCATGGGCTTGTTGACCATGCGATGAGATGTTGGAAAGTGGACTCGGACCAACAAGTGCAAACCCTGTCCCAAATGATTTGGGACGAGTATCCATTTAGTCAATCAGTCACTAACGTGACTGATAGATAAGGGGGGTGTAACTGGGTGAACCGTTACATAACAATTTATAAGAAATTGTTAATAGAATACAACTACAAGAGTTAAATACTCAGAATTTTGTCATAAGCACAATATTCTGCAGCACTTACGAGTAGTTCCTGATTGGTTGATATAGGCCATTATATCAACCAACGAAGACGCGCCACGATAGACGCACGCAATGAGTGGTGAGCAGATAGTTGATATGCACATTTGTATTCAGACATAGTTAGATGAGGATCAATAGTGGTTTATTAACAGACATTAACTATGATAAATACAGTTCTACTTTTTACTTTGATCAAGTACTCGCTTCTTCTTACCTTCTTCCTCTGCACGTACGAGTGTACGTAAAGTTCCGAGGCACCGCCTTATTCTGTCATCAGAATAAGTAGCTTGTACTGTCATCAGTACAAGCTTGAGGGTGCCCCGTTACATGCAAGATGTCCAAAAGGTCCTGAGGCAGGATGTATGCGCTAATTGTAGCAACTTGTCGTGGCTGATCCATGTTAGCCGGGAGTCCTTTTTGACTATAGATCAATATCGCGATGCGGGTGTGGAGTCGGGTGTCACGTGCTGCAGTCTTATGTTCGTTCATTGCGATGGCTTTCAACAGACCAATGTCGCTTCTCCAGTATTTTAAGTCGCTCGATGCTGGAATAGTTAGATTTCCCATTTTTACTGCCGCATTTTGCCTGTTTTCATAGATGTATTTGATTGATAGGGCTTCAAAAGATCAATGCGCACTATTTTCTGTTTTTGCGACATTTGTAGTTGAAATAGGAATCACACACGTTGGGACACTTTTCCTGCAGCGTTAGTGTTGTCTTTGAGACAAAAATGCAAGCGCTTGAGAAGACGTAGCGCTGTGGCTCATGTGTTTAGGCACCATACCGCGCTCTCCCGAATGCGGCTTGTTCGATTTGGCTGTCCCAGAAAGTGTGCGCTGCGGTCGGCATGGCTTATGTTTAGCTGCTTTGGCTCTATGCGTAAGCATGTCCAAGCCCAAAACTTGTCGAGTGCATTGGCATACACGATTACTCGTGCATGCCATTAATAAATTGCTACAAGTGTCATCGCTCCCTGGTCACCTGCGCGTTGAAACAGGACAGCCTTGCCGTAATGCTGGTCGTAAATAGGTATTAGGAACCAGTAATGCCTGTCTCATAATTGCCTTTCAATTTCTGACAACTGCCTAATGGCTCCGGCACGCATCACGTAAGAGAAGGAGATTTATGCGGGCAAGAACAGCCAACCTTTATTGGGTTCTGCTCATCCAGATTCTGTATTTATTCCCAGATAAGACCTTTTTTGTGGCATACCGCCCTATAGATGCCAACGGATGCATCATCTCCTGAAAGAAGCCAAATAAATGAAGCTTCGGAAGAGTTCATCAATCGATTTTGTGCAAATAAACATGGAGTGTAGACTCGAAAGATTTGCCAAACTAGGGCTGGGTGCCAGATCTAAATCAAATGGTCCGGACTAGTATATCGGGCTTAAACAAAGCACAATAACAACTCTTTTCAATGCGCAACAGACTAGTAAATGCGCCCAATACAGAACCGTCAGCATTCTCTTCTTTGTTGACACGGCAGTATTACCGAAAAGTGCAAGTTCCAGTACCTGTACGCATCCATTTCTGTTGCCACTTTTAAAGCACTAGAGTGGAAGCTCTTTCCTCCGATGTAGAAACAAACTATAGCTATTCAGATGCTTATGCGCAACACGATGCCATAATCGACATTGTGCCCAATGATTTAATATTGTTCAGTTTACGTAATTTTGTCTTATGGTAAAAAACGCGTGACGCCGCAGTTTGTCTATGTTCAAGATATCACTTTGCTGACATCTCATGACATTGATGTAAGGCAGCACATAAAAAAGAATAATATGAACAACATAGCAATGGACTGATGTTGTGTTCTGTATTCAAAACGTTTTCATACATGACATTAGAGGTTTCGCTCGTTGGTAAGGTTCCAAAAACATTTTTGGCCTCAATGACATTGTAACGTTATGAGAGCCGGTATAGCAAAACAAGAAAAAGACACGTACAGCCACGCGTTCTATTTCAGAAAAAGCTTGCGCTAATGCACTTCAAATACTTTCATTTCAGCCCAAGTCAGCCAGCGCTTTTCGCTGCATAGGTCGTGCAGAATCCTCTCGAAGAACAGACCTATCGGTAAAGACACCCACTCTCTTCGTGTCGCCGTCACAAAGTCTGCCCACGTATCGGTTCGCGAGTAACTTCTCGAAAATAGGTCCGAATTTCACCCTGACTTAACCTTTTGGACGCCGCTTACGCAACTAATCAAAGCCAGATTAATCAATACACATACAAAGATAATCTATTGATACCACTCTTCCTATCTGACGGCTTAAGCAAACGCTTCTCTTCGAATGTACCATACAACGCCTCACCAGATTCAGTTGACATTTTATCTTAAATCGAACAACTCTCACCTACTATTAGCGCCGCAGTGTGTGTAAAGAAATTCACCTTCTCCAGGTGCGACTCTACGAACTCCAGCTGAACACTTCCTCCCATTGCAAAATTCTGCAGACTTACCCGTATATCTACGTGTTTGCGCTTATCATAACACTGCTCGCAGACTTGACTTACCGAATCGTGACTTTTTATGAACCATCAAGAGTACGGGCTCAGCCACCTGGAATCCAATCCGGCTTACCAGCTATTCAAATTATTATAGTCGTGATCTAACATGGGAAACGGACATTATCAGCCGCCGGAATTGAAATCGACAAATTTGTCGATTTTCTCATTGCTAAAATATCAGTGGATTTCGTGGGTCGAACATATCTTGATTCCATCCATATTACCATGCTTCTACTCACTGAATGCTTGTTGCCTTTGTCTGCAGCGAAGTCGGCTTCGATTCAGAATCTGGGTACAGCTGTGTCTAACCAGCTCTTGGTACCGTCAAAAGTCGCTTCACTAATAATAGGTACTCTCATTATCGATTTAATTCGCATAGCAAGTTCAGGGTATTATGGTCGGATGATGCGTGCGCCGCGTGTCTGTATGAAATGCAAACCGATTTCAGGTTGGTTGCAGAGGAGTGACACACTCGGCTAACTACAATTGACCAACAATTCGGGATTGTCTGTCCTATTCTTTTCATGACGGGCTTGAGCAGCAAAGTTTGTTCGTTTTCTTATATCGTAACTTGTCACGACCTGGTCTGTGTACTCCATTTGCATCAGCAAACCCGTGTGTGTCCATTTATCCGTCTTTAGTCAGTTGCTAAACAAGTGTACTCGCATCTATGTCATTCTGCTCGACGCGCACTCTAAGACAAATTTTTGTACGTGCCCGATGATCCCCATAAATCATGCCAGGTCATCTGCGCTCACCGCAACTGTAACGGGGTGAATCGTAACACAACAATTTATAAGAAATTGTTAATAGAATACAACTACAAGAGTTATATTCTCAGAATTTTGTCATAAGGACAATATTCTGCAGCACTTACGAGTAGTTCCTGATTGGTTGATATAGGCCATTATATCAACCAACGAAGACGCGCCACGATAGACGCACGCAATGAGTGGTGAGCAGATAGTTGATATGCACATTTGTATTCAGACATAGTTAGATGAAGATAAATAGTGATTTATTACAGATATTAACTATGATAAATACAGTTCTACTTTTTACTTTGATCAAGTACTCGCTTCTTCTTACCGTCTTCCTCTGCACGTACCAGTGTACGTGAAGTTCCGAGGCACCGCCTTATTCTGTCATCAGAATAAGTAGCTTGTACTGTCATCGGTACAAGCTTCAGGGTGCCCCGTTACACCTGGTAGCACTTCGTAGTCCGTCCAAGGACAAAGTTCACATCTAACATGAATATGTTAGATGATGATGATGACCAAAGCTTTCACGCTACGCGTGACGGCTACTCCCATTTGAGCGATGTCGAATGGGATGCGGTTGAACGAATGGGTTCGACCATGGGCATCCATGCTGTTAGCGTCATGCTAGAGGCTCTCAATAGAGATGCCCAACATGCTACTGTCGCCAAGTTCATTCAAAATGAACTTGACGCTGAACGCGAGAAAGTAGCCTTGCTTCACCAACAAGGTTCTCAACAAGCAGAGTTGTTGAGAGAACAGGGTGCTCAACAGTTTGAACTGTTGAGACAGCAGCAGGCTGATGCTGGTGGGTAGATGCACTTCGCGTCGACCCGAGAACTTAAAGATTGACATCTCCAAGTATAAGGGAGTCGAAGAGGACTCCCTCCTGAGATTGTTTGTTGAATCAGACGACGCCGTAAGGGCGCGTCGCATCGACGACGGGGATATGCAAGCTGCAATTGCCCAATCAAATCTGGCAGGACGTGCCAAGACTTGGGCTTTGGGGCTCAAGTCGCACGACCCACATGCGTTTGGGTCGTTAGAAAGTCTTCAAGTCGCGGCTCAGACAAGCGTTTGAACCGCCTAGAGCTGAGTTCAGAGCTCGAACCGAACTCTTGAAGATCAAATAAGGTAAGCGTGATGTGCACGCTTACGCGCAACATATACGACATCTCACGAGTTGTATAAGTTCCAACCTGGTTGATGAACACACGTTAGTTTCGGTGTTCATGCAGGGTCTTGCGGATGGTCCCGTCAAGACTCACCTGTTCCGACTTGAACTGGATTCACTAGAACAAGCCATTTCCATTGCGAAACAGGAAGACTTCATTCTGAGACAGGCTCGCGCCAGCTCGACAGCATATCGTCAACCGAGACGATATGACAGCGGAGGTCCAGAGCCGATGGAATTATGTTATGTAGAGAGCGAGAAGGCTCGCTCTACAGACTACAAGAAGTTGCAGAGATGCAACAGATGTCAAAAGACAGGACACTACGCTTACGAGTGTAGTGCCCCTCGTCCAGTTTCTCGCAACACTGGGCGTAGTGACCGTCCACCCATGAGAAAGGGGCAGACACGCGGGTCCGCTGCTGGTGCAAAGACACAACAACGGGATGGACCGTCAGAAAACGGACAGGATCAGTAGGTGCGGAGCACCCTACTGGTCCAGCAACGTCAAGAGAATTTGTAGGCCTCTTGATGAAGGTTGCTCCCAACGCAAAAACGTTGTGCGTTGCTGCTCTAGGTAATGAGGTCTCACTCATTACCTTGAAACTCGAAGTGACGAATAACTTGTCCCTTCGAGCTCTAGTCGATTGTGGGGCGTCCAACAATTTTGTGCGACGCCAATCGCTAGAAGATGGTCACTTTAAATTCAGTGAATGTGACACACCTCCTACGAGGATGACGGTACGTCTTGCGACAGGCGCATCCGTAACCGTCATGAAGCGTATAGTGAAGATCCACTGTACGCTAGAAGATACCCAATATGTCGATGATTTTATCGTACTGGATTTGGATGACAAATTTGATGTCATCCTTGGAATACCGTGGCTCAGAAGGTACGAACCACGGGTAAACTGGCAACATCGAACAGTAACGATGCCTGCCGCTTGTTCATCAGATGGCCATCTGATGAACGTTTTGGAGCGTCCACAAGCGTGTGGATGTACTACGAGTGAGTGCGATGGCCTCACTTGTGGTACGGTCGTTAGTACGACTGCACAAAACCTTAGTGTAGCAAACGGTTACACTTCGGAGCAAAGTTCCGGCGGCTGTGAGGAAACACAGGCTGCGCCAAAGGTCCACCACTCGAATAAGTCGGGTGGACCGGGAAAAAGATGTATCCCTAGCGGGGAACACCTCGAAGAGAAACAATCGATCGCTCAGGTTAAGCGAAACAATAATTCTAGATCCACTGGAGAGTCTTTCGTTGATGATCTCGCTGTGGTTGCGCAACCCCAGCTAGAGGAAGTTAAGGGAATAAGTCCCGATATTACAGATACGGTGGAAATAAGTTCCCCGAAATCCGAGGGAATAAGTCCCCGGTAAGCCGAAGGAATAAGTTCTTCGAGGCCTGAGGGAATAAGTCCCCAGGAAATGACAGAGACATTGAATGTCCTAGTCAATAACGAATCAAGTGTAGGCGCTTATACACTTGATCTGATTGCGCCTCCGAAGTTGACTTCGGAGATCACTCAGTTGCCAACGCTCGAACATAAAAGGTTCTTGCGTGATCTGCGTAGTGGCAAAGTCAAGCAGATCTGCGTAGTGGCAAAGTCAAGCAGATCTGCGTACTCGTCGCTGATGATGAGTGCGTAGCCGACATAAGGTCAGCAACAGTGTTTACTGAGAACGAGAGAGTTCTCAGTAGTTCATCGATGGGCGAGAGCGTCCTCGATGAAAAGACACGAGTTGAGCGATATGACTCCCAACCGTGGGAATCGCTCAAGACAAATCCTCTCTATGAAGATTTGGTTGAATTCAAGGATGTATTCCCTGAAACTGTTCCGTGCGAATTACCGAAGGATAAAGGTACCCGACACGAGGTCGAGCTTAAACCAGGCTCGAAGTACTGTGTCATGAAGCAGTGGCCACTGCCTCGTGAACAAGTACTCGCGATCGACAAATTCTTTGCCGATCGTTTAGCTGTGGGCCATGTGAGGGAATCAACTTCCCCACAAAGCTCTCCGACCTTCTGTGTGCGAAAAGCAACAGGAGGGTGGCGGATAGTGCATGCATTCAACAAGTTGAATGCTGCAACGGTACCGGCTCAGACGCCGATACCAAGGAAGGACGTAATCATTGATGGTATGTCAAAGAGTACCATCTTTTCGTCCATGGATTTGATGGATGGCTTCTATCAAATCCTTATGCGAGAACGGGATATACCCTAGACCGCAGTTAGCACGCCTAGCGGCATGCTCTGGGAGTGGCTAGTAATGCCACAAGAGCTTAGTAATGCCCCTGCCACGTTCAACAGATGTGTATCACATCTGTTGAGACCAGTACGAGAGTTCGCGCCGAGTTATTTCGATGACGTATTCATCCATAGTCGGGCTATGGATGGAAAGTCGGACGTTGATGTTCACAGGTACCACGTCCGACAGGTTCTTACAATCATGCGAAAGCATCAATTGTATGCCAATCTCAAGAAGTGTATATTTGCAGCAAGCGAAAAATACCACTTCTTGGGTGAATCGTTGGTAAGAACGGTGTACGTCCTGATCCCGAAAAGATCAAGGCGATCACCGACTGGGCTGTGCCAGTTGATGTCAAAGGTCTTCGAAAAATCCTTGGGCTAGCGGCGTATTTGCATAAGTATTCACGCAACTTCGCCGAGATGACTGTGCACCTCTCTCGTTTGTTGAAAAAGAACGAGAGGTGGTTATGGAACGCTGAATGTCAGCGCTCCTTTGATGGTGTCAAGCAGAGCTTGATACAATCCCCAGTCCTAGCAATAGCCGATCAGTACAGGCCATTTCATGTGGCCTGTGATGCCAGCGATTTTGCAATCGGCTGTGCATTAATGCAGTACGATCTTGAAGGCGTTGAACGCGTCGTCTGCTATCAGTCGCGTCAGCTGCGACCAGCTGAGCGGAACTATCCAGTGCATGACAAGGAACTCCTTGCCATGAAGTATGCACTCGCGAAGTTCAGAGTCTATCTATTAGGAGATAGACCTTTTATTGTTTACACTGACCATGCGTCATTACGCACGGCAGTAAACAGCCCGCACCTTTCACAACGAATGGCGCGGTGGTTGTCATTCTTTGCGGAATACAACTTTACGGTAGAGTACAAACCAGGACGACTTAATGTCGTCGCTGATGCACTCTCACGTCGTCCCGACTTTGAAACAGTCGCGAAACCCAACAGTGAGACAGCCACTGTTGCAGTTATGACGTCCTCAGTACCATCTGCAACGTTGCATGATGATGTGAGGCGGGCGTATGCCCAAGATGGTGAGATAGTGAAGTTGTTGGCACATCTCTCACAACCATCTCGAGAATCGTTGAAACGATTATCGTATGCGTATCGATCTGCATCAGATCGATACACTACTCGCAACGGTTTACTGTTTTATACAGCCGTTTCTGGTGACACACCACGTGTTGTCATCCCAGATGATACTGATCTGCGTTTGCGGATCATGTTCGAGTATCACGATGCTCCTATAGGAGGACATCGTGGTCGGGAGAAAACATATCTCACGGTGAGTCGAGACTTTTACTGGCCCCGCCAGTATCAGTTTGTGCGGAAGTACGTTCGCGCATGCGAAGTCTGTCAACAAGTGAAGTCAAGTCCTTCACTGCGTGCACCTTTACAGCATCTACCGGTTCCGGCTGAGTGCTGGGAATCCATCTCAATGGATTTTGTCTTCGGGTTACCCAAAGACGCACGCAGGAATACGGGTATTCTCGTATTTGTTGACAGATTCAGCAAAATGGTACACCTTGTGGCTGTACCAGAGTCAATCACGGCAAGTGGCTGTGCTTGTGTCTTTATTGACACCATCTTCCGACTTCATGGTTTGCCCAGTGAACTCGTATCAGACAAAGATCCACGATTCACTGCTGATTTCTGGCGTTCCGTGTTCAAATCACTCGGAACGCGCTTGAAGATGTCGACATCTGATCATCCAGAGTCAGATGGTCAGACGGAACGTGCCAATCGTGTCCTTGAAGAGATACTTCGAGGATACGTACACTCCTTTAAGATTCGGAGTGAGTTCTTGTCCATGGTAGAGTTTGCCATTAACAACTCGGTGCATGCGTCCACGACACATACACCGTTCTACGTGAATGGCTTGCGCCATCCACGTGTACCCACCTTACCCGAGTGCAACTCTGGTTTAAGGGGGGAGAGACTCGCGCGAGCAAAAACCGATTTGGTTCACGCTCTGACGAAGAGGTCATTGCGTTTGGTGCCGATATCGACAACATCGATATCGAAGAAGATGATGCCAGTGAGAGTGCGGAAGCCCTCACTGAAGAAAAGATTGATGTTGCTGCAGTGCACTCACAGCGCACTGAAGCTAACGGGTCATCAGATAAATTCATACTGGCTCGTGAAACGGTAGTCCGTTTCGTGCAAGACTCCATCGCCAAAGCGGTGGATAAGCAAAAGCAAAACGCTGACAAGAATGGAAGGGAAAATACTCTTTTATTTAATAAAGGTGACTTAGTCCTACTGTCTACGGTTAATCTACCAAAGCATGTGGTGACTAACTTGGGTAGCATTAAACTTCTACCCAAGTACATCGGCCCATTTCGTGTCTTGCATCGCCTAGGCAATGCATACACGATCGAACTGCCACGTAAGATGCGAACGCATCCCACGTTTTACGTTGGTCGGCTTAAGCCGTACCATCAGTACGCTGCTTCTTCCGATGAAGAACGCCCTTGCGCGCAAGCATCTCACAGAGGGCCTTGTGCTCCCGATGGTGGATATCGACAAGGGTCTGAAGCGCAGTTATCTCAGCCCGAGACCACTCAACATCCCCACGAGCTACCCTTAGCTCTTCACGAATAGATGTAAGAGCTCTCTCGTTCTCAAGCTGAGCAAAGGCAAACTCAGCTCGATGCTTCAAGACAGTGTCCACCATTTGGAGACGCCTATTCCGCTCATGCTCGAGATCGTCGCGTAACCCTTGCGTTACGCGATCAAAGAAGCTCTCAGGAACACACGCTCCCCCAAGATAGTTTGGAGAGTGTTTTCCCTCCTCCTCCACCTCCTTTGGAGGACTCTCGCGGTGGCCAGCGCTATCTGGTCGAGAGGCTGTTGAACCACCGCGATGTGAATGGACGTCGGACGAGTTACCTCGTCCGGTGGCGCGGTTATCCCCCGTCCTGAGATACTTGGGAGCCCCACTCCCAACTTATGATCGACGTACTGGGTCTGGTCGAGCAGTACGACGCGGCACATCCTGTGCCGCAGAAGGACCGCCGGAGAAAGTCTTCCCGGCACGGTCGTAAAGGGATTTCAGGTTGTCAATCCCTTCGTGCATCTCAGTAGAGATACTTACGCGCCATCACGGGCTAGTAAGAAGGTAAGCCTCCTTAGGTGCTCGTGCAGAGTTGTTCACACAACATGGGCACGAGTCTCCTCAGGAGAGACAGGGTAACCCACCCTCCTTAGACAGACGATGCAGCTTATAGCGTGCACCTGTCGGGGTTCTCTTCTTAAACTTATCACGATCTCTGATAGGTTTGTCGTTCCAAACGTCACGACCTACATCCTCAAGGTTATGGATGTAAGCGTTCCACGCTTGAAGCAGCGAGGGACCATCACGTTTGTGATTCCTACTGTACCATCGATGTTTAAAGAAAGCATCGATGAAGAACTCATGTTCAGTGCGATAGTTTTTCGCACTGGGGTCAAGGTGATGGATCCTTGACGAATCGAACAATCGTGTTCGATAGCGATCACTTGTCGTCGCCGACAAGTGATCCATGACAGATTTGGGAGGCATCCATGCCTTCTTCCCGGGAGCGAGACGCAACACACTGCGGTCCCGCTCTTTTTGCGACGTGCCGACAGAAATACTGGCACCTCGCTGCGAAGTGGTGTCAATAGGAGAACCGACACCACTGTGAGCGCCCGAGTCTCGCGACCTCGAGCGCCTTCGCTTTGGCGATGGTTCATCAGATTCGTCAGATGAACCAAAGATGCTACGACGCATAGCATCATCCATGCCATGCTTGGCAGGCGGCTTGTTTTCAACCGTTTTCGATACAGATCCGTCTTCCGTATCAGGAGAGTATGAGACACCGAGCTCGTACTCTGTGAAGACATGAGTGTCTTCATGAAGATCGCCTGCATCACCAGGTGACACAGGCTGAGTCGCTTCAGCAACCGATGAGACATTAGCTGCTGTGGTTTCTGCTTCGGCGTCCGCACAGAGACGTGTGGACGCGCTCTCGGCGGCCTTGCTCGCGCACTGCATGGGCTTGTTGACCATGCGATGAGATGTTGGAAAGTGGACTCGGACCAACAAGTGCAAACCCTGTCCCAAATGATTTGGGACGAGTATCCGTTTAGTCAATCAGTCACTAACGTGACTGATAGATAAGGGGGGTGTAACTGGGTGAACCGTTACATAACAATTTATAAGAAATTGTTAATAGAATACAACTACAAGAGTTATATTCTCAGAATATTGTCATAAGGACAATATTCTGCAGCACTTACGAGTAGTTCCTGATTGGTTGATATAGGCCATTATATCAACCAACGAAGACGCGCCACGACAGACGCACGCAATGAGTGGTGAGCAGATAGTTGATATGCACATTTGTATTCAGACATAGTTAGATGAGGATAAATAGTGATTTATTACAGACATTAACTATGATAAATACAGTTCTACTTTTTACTTTGATCAAGTACTCGCTTCTTCTTACCTTCTTCCTCTGCACGTACGAGTGTACGTAAAGTTCCGAGGCACCGCCTTATTCTGTCATCAGAATAAGTAGCTTGTACTGTCATCAGTACAAGCTTGAGGGTGCCCCGTTACAGCAACCGGCAATTTATCGATGTACACTCCAACAAATTGACAAATGTCATACCGCCTGTTTAAAATAACCACAATTAATAGACGCCTGTCAGCTGACCCGAATTTCCTTAGTTTATCGTGAGCACGAATCCACAACCTGCTAGCCTGACTACACCATAAAAAAGTCAACAGTCGATACCTAATTCTCCTTCTATTATCCACATCGAGCTTACACCACGCTGTCAGATTTTCCACTCGTTGTTAAACGTATTTATTTCCTTTATTTTTTCCGTGTATATGTGCTCGTTCGTCATGTCTGCGCATGACAGGCACTACTCAACGCCGCGACAACATCAGAATGACTTTATCGTACTCATTCCATCACCGCTTTCTATTAATGCTAAATTCATTTTCGATACTTGAACCCAAAGCATGGCCTTTAAATGTTCAATGGCACTACTAACGTCCTTTTTAAGCCCACGTGGTAAGAAAAAGTGAGCTGCTTTGGGGTAGTACTTCCACCACACATATTCCATTCTATTCGAGGGCACCATACATCTCCTTGATTACAACAAAGTATTTGTCGTTGCAGCAGCACTAGAAGCCTTGTTTGAAGTTCTTATAAATAAAATATCGTTACCCTGTTCACGAAAGCACGAGATGTTTTGTCTAATGCTGTTATACTATCATCACAAGCAGCTACCTCGTATCGCATCTTGTGCAGTCGTACTAGTACTTTCAGTCTCAAATGTGCACAAAAAATGACTTTGCGTTTAACCGAACCTGTTCCGTTCGCCTGAGTCGCTGGAGTCGCCAATGCACAAAGCCTCATTTGTTTCGAGATGCGCGCGTTTGGGCTGGGCGGTATGATCCATGTGAGGATATAAATTTGTCAGACATGTGTTTTCGGAATGTGTTTTACTGTGGAGTTTATAGACTTGATCTCCTTAAACCTTGTCACTTCAGCCAAAATTACGCCAACTGCGCTCCCTCGCCCAGCATTTTATTATTTGCAACGCCGTGCATCCTAACTATTATTTAGTAAGATTTGTATGATGGTAGCCTGTGCGATTTTGAAAGCATATAAATCGGGATGGTTTGCCTGGATTGGCTTTGCTAAATCGCGAACCCAATCCAGGCAGACGGTCCCAAGGGTGTACGCAGTACTTTTACAGACTATCTCCCAAAAGCTTATAAACACCTTGCAACATAACCATCCTTTTTATTTATAATTATGCAGTAGTTTCTCTCTACTTTGACATTGCTGGCTTGGTTGCCATACCCACTCACCTATCGCGCGATACCTACTTCTTTTGCAGATCAAATGTATCGCTGACCACACCACCATGTCGTTCCTAGCGTGTTACGCCAAGCCGACCTTGTAAAGCAAAATATCGGCAGTCAAAGCGCCACTTTACTTGCCATATAGTGCTCAAAGATTTGGGCCGCATCAACCACCTTGGTCTGGCCTAGCATACCCCTACAGTAATTTGGACAGTGTTCGGTTTAACTCACCATATACGAGATATCCAGGAAGTTTTTAGAAGTCATGTGCCATCAATAGTCGAAGCAGATGACTATTTCGGTCACGTGCAAGTTGCTGTCATAGTCTTTTCGAGACTGCTTCTTTTTCACTGCCTATCTTTTTAATTTCCTTACGCACACAAAAGACGAATTTTAGGGTTTTCATTAGTGAGGGTGATCCTGATGCAGGATTCTTGGCCAAGTTTACAAAATTATCAAGACATAATTGGTGTTCTCGTCTGTTAAACCTAATGCGCCTTGCTTTACGCTTTTCGACATTCACTCCTGTGCCTGCGACGACACTAAAATCTAAATTTGCCTGTGCTACCAACTAATTGCTGCCTAGTACACTAAAAAGAAGAGGCGTCCAGTCGAGATCTCAACATTTCCAAAAGCGGGTCCTTCATTCGTATCGGGATTTATAATGTATGCCCTGAAGATATTAATCAATTTTCCCATTTTTATCGAAGAAGCGCCTCGTTGATTAAAATACGATTGGTAATGCGCGACGATACGACTATTAATGCAAAATACAGCAATCAGGAATGTATAGTCGAAATATCCAGCAGACTTAGAGTAGAAAACGAGATTGTAAAATAACAAATAAATTAGTTCACTTTGAATTTTGCATTCACAACACAAGCCGTTGACAACATTCAAAAGCCTACGATAAACCGACCCTTCCCCCGGCGCCGACTTCACTTACAACACGGAAGCTTCCTCCGCCACCAGCCCTCGCATCAAAAAGTTTGATAATACTAACTTCCACACTTGGAAGTTGAAAATGCAGGTGGTACTAGGGAAGCAGGACCTCTGGAAATTGAAATGCGAAAGGATCAAGATGAAACTTCTAACCACTGTACTTACCTAGTCAAAGTTAGAGCGCCAGTCAAGCAAAGTGCTGGCGATCATCCGTCTCCCTTTGGAATCTTCTCGAATGCCGATCATCCGTTCGGCGATTGGGGCTCACGATGCATGGCCTCAACAAGAAGAGCACTAATTGAAGAAGAGGATAGTGAACTAGCTATTTTTTTGTCGACGCTTCTTCACGACGGTGATTAATAAAGGTGATGATTTGTTGGGGAACATCAACGAGTTTAAGACTCCGGCAGAGCAGCTAGATGCGGTCGGCGCTTCGGTCAGCGAGGAAGACTTGGTGATCATGCAAGTCATACAAGTCCACGATCACGGCGCTGGAGTCACGTGCCGACTCTTTGGCGTGGGAGCTTGTGACGTCTCGGATTTAACATGACGACATGAAGCGCAAGGATCAAGGCAGCAAAAGGGTCACTGCAGGTCAAACGTTCACGACGAATGGATTAGTAGCGCAGTTTAAGAAAATTAAAGAAGGATGGCGCGTGCAACTATTTTGGCAAAATGGGTCATTACCTTGCGGAACGGTCCTCGTGGATCTAAGACAATGCGGACTGGCAGCGTCCGCAGGGTCCGCAATGTTCAAATGTGGCACACAACCAATGTGATAACTCGAATAATTTTTTCTTTGCCGTTGTAAAGGGGATTAGCAACTGCGTCAAGAATCCGGCACGGCCTATAGACTCCGGTGCGGCGCTGCTCATGTCTGATCGACGCAGCACATGTCGTTTCGAATCGATTCATGACGAATTACAAGACTATCATTCCGGTTGACGTTCACCTCATGGATGACGGATTTGTGTAGGCTATTGGGATCAGCGACTTACTTATGATGATGAAAACCCAAGCGCCGCCAAAAAAGATGTGCTTGCAAACGTTTTGCACATTCCGGAGCTATAACCTTATCTGTCCTTGGTCGGAATATTTACCATGAATGTCACGGCAGTGACGCTTGAAACCAGCACTTTATGCCTTCCAGAAGTGGAAGGTCAGCGAGCGTGCTGTCAAAGGTCTCTTTAAGCTGTGCACGAAATTTGTGGAGATTGAGTGCGCTGCAAGTTAATCCAAGAATGCTTAGATGGGCAAGTCGTACCCGTGGCACCTGCGCCATGGCCCCTTGGCTATGATGGACTCAAATCAATCGTGAAGCAGAAGCTAGGTATCGGTATAGACACTGCGTCAGTGAGCAAGTGATATCTTTGCTATGGATGTACTCTCTGGAAGCAGACTTGAGAATACTTTCAGACAACATAGAGCCAGCCAGCCAAGAACCTGCTTGACGTCTTGTGCTCCAATGTATGCAAACCGATGCAGACTGCGACATTCTCCGGCAAACAATACTTTGTGACGTTTATCAACGCCTCAGCAGGACAGAGTAGCCAAAAGGATGAAGTGGAATATGGTCGAGAGTGATACGTGCATGATTGAGCTCACGGAACTATCCAAATGGTACTGGGGTAAGTCAGCATCACCAGCAGCATCCCTAAGCAATCAATGCCCGATTCGAGCAACTGGTCATGATAAGTCTATGCTTGAGGTGTGTACACAGGAGAAACCGTTTTTGGAGAATCTGAAGGTATCTGAGTGCTACGCGTATATGAAAATGCTGATAGAGAAGAGGTCGAATCTTGATTCGCGATCGACATTGTGTCGCTCCTTGGGATACTCGGACCACGAAAAAGCGTATCGATTTGAAGAGCTATCAGGCTGTCAGACCTAGTGAGTCGCGGCGCCCAGTTCATGAAAGAAACCTTTGAAGCGGAAAATACGCAAAGGAAATCAACAGCAATAGTTCCGAGTACAGTACCACTTATGAAGCGAACAGAGGTGAAGACTACAACGTTTGACACGACGAAATCAACAGTGACTATATGAAAAAGTAAGCACTCGAATCACTTTCGATCCATGAGCGGTTCCTATGGCAGCAAACGCACCGTACAGTCGACCACCACAACATCCGCAGCAGCAACATATTGATCAATTACCGGGTTCCAAGCTCCATCTACAGACGCACCACTGGAACCTTTCGACACCCAGCGGAGACATAATTGTGTGGGAGTATAGGTCAAGCGAACACAACGTCAGTACAGGGGAAAGCGTCATCACTCGAAGAGGTGACGGCGATACTTGCGTCAATCGATGAAGAAGAAGACTGTGCTCACGTCGTAGATTCAGTGGGAGAAGTTCCGATGAAATTCGTATCAGCGATGGAAGTTGACGACGTGAGCTAGTGGCGAGAAGCGTGCGATACAGAGTTTCATTTTTTGTCCAACAACAAGACGTGGGAACATGTGCCATTTCCAAGCGGTCACAAGGCGGTCACCAGCAAGTGGCTAATCGTGATTATTGAAAATGCTGACGGTTTCGTTGAACGGTACAAGGCCTGCCTTCTGGCGAAAGATTATTTATACAAGCTTATATTGGAATTTAGATAAGATGTTCGCTCCGGTGGCCAAGTTTGCGTCGATATGGATCATTTTGAGCACCGCCGCGCGAAATAACCTCGTGCTGCACCGGGTGGATGTCAAGACGGCATTTCCCAATGTTCTGCTTGAAGAAGAGATCTCATTGAAGCATCTTGATATATTAAGTCATGCCAATAATAAAAATTACCACGTGTCTAAGCTTAAGCGTGTGCTGGACGGACTCAAGCAGTCGCCACACATGTGGAATCATATCAGCGAGTTCATGCACAAGACAGGCTTAAAAAGTGCGAGATGATCCACTGCGTCTACGTTAGGCGTGACAGAAATTCACGATGTTTATAGTTCTCGAAGTTGACGTCATCATCCTTGCGTGCGACGACATGGGTTTTCTCGTAGCTACTAAGTGTGCATTTAGCGAAAAATTCGAGATGTCCGATCTTGGACTGCCTCGGCACGGAAGTCGAGCGCAATGACAAGTCGTACAATTCATCGATGAAATAATCTAAGCTCCTGCGCTCGATCCTGACCAAGTTCGGCATAAAAGACTTCAAGCTCGTTAAGAAAAAAAAAACCGCAAGACTTCTGACTTAAATTGAAAAAAAAGTGCGCAAAGGAAAGTGCAAGCATGAGGATTCCATGAAAGGTGTGCCATACCGGAGTGCTGTTGGAGCCGGGACGTACGTAATGGTTGACACGCTCCAGACATATCATCTTCAGTGGGACTGCTCAGCCAGTTTACTGCTGACCCGTGTCTAACACACTGGCAAGCAGTTATGTGCGTACTACGGTACCTACCAGCGGCTCCAACGCTCGTTATTCGTTTCATCGGCGCTGGTGATGGCAAGTTAATCGGCCATTTTTAAGCAGACTGGGCTGGCGATATCGAGACGAGACGTAGTACCAGCGTGTACATGTTTGAGATTAACAACGGCTGCATCAGATTTTGCAGCAAGAAGAAGATCAGCATGGAACTCTCGTCCACTGATGCAGAGTACGTGGATCTCTCGGAAGCGACTTAAGAGGCAGTGTGGAGTATGGAGTTCAGTCGTGAGGTCGGCGAAGAATCATACAACGAAGCTATACCTTATTTTAAGACAATCAAGGTAATACTCCGTTGGCAAAGAACCAGGAGTGTTTCACGGGCACGAAGCGCATTGACATAGGCTACCACTTTGTGCGTGTGAAGGTCAGGAAAAATCAATTCGTGATACAGTTCTGTCAGATGCGAGACATGCTCGCAAAAATTATGACAAAGGCGATGCAGCGCCGCAGTTAATCACCCTTCGAACACACACTCGGCATTACTGCCGCTGTTGCTGCCGAGTCAAGTGGTAGTGTAATCGAATGATCGACTCGGCAACTAAGCGACATCTAGTAATGTGCGACGTGGCGATTCTAAATATGCGATGTGGCGATTAGTAACGCGCGACGTCACGATTGCTAATGTGTGATGTGGCGATTAGAAATGTATAGTAGAATTTATAAGTAGGGATAGGGTGGCAGAAGAGGTTGCGAACTAAGGACGTATATCCATTCACTTTGCATTTTGTATATCACGACACAAGCCATTGACAACACAATGGCTCAAGTAATTGAATGAATTGAAAATTTATGTTCAATTTCAGCATAATAGAAGCAGCTTAAATTTTTACGGTTAGATTTTTATCGATCAGTCCATGCCGCTCTTGATCAACAGTAAATCTAATAACGCCACCAGATACCATTTATAATTGGCAAAATATTCTCATATAAAATAAAATTAATTGCAGTATAAAATGATAGATGATGCACAAATAAATGATTAGTGTGATAATCAGAGAGTAGATAGAATTACCCAGATAATTTTTACAAGAACTAGAAGACATCGAGACTCGATTCGAATTGTATCTTTGTCAGACCGCCTGGCCCACGCGCAGTCATGAGATCAAGTCTAATTTTGACTTGGCTGGATGTCACTGTACAAATTGGTGCACATGTACTCTTACGACAATATCCTTTACCTATGTCGTAGCATCTCGTCAAACCTTAGCAACTCTATACGATGATACTACACGTCAGGAATCACTCCATGGACAAAACCTACCATGGGCGGACGAAGATCATGCACCTTTACTACCAAGCATTACAAGGACACGCTCATCATAACCGTATGCATCAGGTGTTCATGTTGCAATTTGTGCCTTCATGAAGAAGTGGACACGACAAAACTTTGAAGCTCGCACTGCAAAGCATGAGTCCAAGATGGGTATACTTTGATGACGCAACACGCCTGCATGTCGTGCTATAGACTCCTTTGCATTGTGTAATCGCATTCGTATTGAACTTCACATGCCGTTCCTTTAGACAGACATAAACTTCAATAGAATGTACGATGCTACTGATGGCTTTCGACAATGGTAACATCCATACTTTGTCCGCGCATGAGCTCACTCGATAGTTCGCCAGTTTTGCATACGAATGTGATTGTTGTGGAATCTTCTTGTCTTTAAAAGCCGAGAGAAGACTTCTCGAGATGCGTTTCGCCAAGACCTTCTTCTGATGTTTAATCGCATGCGTTTTGTTCTCGGACCAGTGTCTTTGGCTGGGATCCTGATGACAACCGTATCAGATGTGGTCTTCTTACCAACTACAATGCTGCGTCGTGATTGCTGGAGCTGCCACAAGATGGTCAGGTCGATGATCGAGTGTTAAGCAAAGGTAATGGTCTGCGGTCGACATTGTTGTCCCGTTGAACACGTCGCCATATCAAAATCGCCTCCTCCAATTTTGCTACTCTACAATGGCGCAGCTTGCTACTTATCATCGAGGTGTCCGAGCAAAGTGAGTAGCGTACAGCGGGTACATCGTCATCGGTCCATGGGCCCTGTCTTCCGAAGCTTTGAGCTTGGTTTTCGGCCCGAATCTTCCTACAAATTACCAACTCGTGCTTTGGATTATCTACAATCTCTTTGGTCCAAATTAACGAAGTCTCTAGGGGACGCAGAGCAGTGAGTGGCAAACCAAGTCATCACAAGACCATGTACCTGAAAGAAGAGGTGCTCTCTGCTCGCAGCGCCCTGCGGATGCGACCAAAGAGCGAAGTGTCTTCTGTCCACACTTTTGTCTCTGGAAATGCGGTAACGGGTCAAGGCAGTTTGGAGGCGGTGACGCAGCTCGAGCAGCTCTTCGAGCGCACGGTGCAGGTTGGCGAGAACCAGTCAGGTCTGTTGCTCGGGTCGGACAGTAGTCGCCGACGCTTCCTTGTGACACACGCAATGCGCAACCTGCGTGGAAAATTTGGGGAATTCACCGTCGTGTACCTCAATGGCGTGATTCTCCAGAACGAGCTCGAGGCTTTCAAGGAATTTACGGCTCAGCTTACACGAGCTACAGCAGTGAAACATCCTGTAGGTTCGAAACAATGACGTTTGATGGTGACGATATCTTCGAAGCAGCTAGCTACTGATGTTATATTGGGTGTCACTGCAATGATGGAGAACAGAGTGTGTCCTACTGGAACATGTACGAGTATCTGCGCAGTTTGCTTGTCTCGAAAGCCAAAGCTGGAGATCACGTGGTTGTCATTCTAGACGCCTTAGACCAATTTGTGCGAGAAAAGAGCAACACAAAACAGCTGCTGCTGTATAACTTGCTGGACTGGCTGCAGGTGCGATGTCACGATGTCGTTTTATCATTCATGCTAGAGCGTATCACATAGTCAACATGTCGTTCGACTGAACGTAGGCAAAAGACATCAAGATGGGCGTGCTTGGTATCACTGATAACTACAATGTCGTGGACAATCTGGAAAAGCGAGTGCGTTCCAGGTAAACGTGCATGTCTGTTCCGCTTCCGTGTAAGTTCCAAGTCGTCTAAGCTCTGTGTGCTGATCAAATCGTCTTCGCTGTCGTATTTGTTGCCGGCTAAACTGCAGATTCTCGAATCTTCAAATTGTCGTGGAGAGACCCTCGTTTGCGCAGATACGTCAACACCTCGAGCACTTGCTTTCTCTCGATACTTTCCCATGGAGTGCTCACAGCGAGTTACGACAACCTTCTACCGAATACACTGCAGCTTTTTCTTGTGGAGTGAAGAAGCTGCTACTAGAGCAAAGCAAGTTCCTTGCGAGCCTCGAGTTTGACTACGACATTGGCAAGCCGCAAGTGTTTTTCGTGAGGCTGACTTCTGCTGCAGTCCACTATCTGGATATTGATGCACCGCTACTATCGGCTCAGCATTTTTGGCGCGCTAGACAATTGCTGGAGCAGGACCACCAACTAGCTGTGCTAGAGACTGTGACAGAGCACGGCATTGCGCTGTTGATCGGTATGGGTCATCTCGAAAAAAGTGACCAAAAAGTGTTCACGCTGGAAATGGTATACGCTCGATGGGAGAACTTCCTTCGACAACACGACATGCTCACTCAACTTCCAACGCGCAGCGAAGCCCAAAAAGCTCTGGAGAATCTGCTGCGGCTGAAGCTCGTCAAGGACGCGGGAGACGCTTTCAAGATTGGGCGCGGTGGGGATGGATGCATGAAGCAGCATACTTCAGCTTTGCTACAGCCTGAATTTCGTGCTGTACATCTGAACTTTGCACCCCGGACATTGGAAGGTATGCTACGTAATGGAAGCATCAAATGCTCGACGCTGCTGAAAGAATGGGCTATCAACGGGAGTTAATCGAATCGGTGCGCACTGCACAGAGGCAGCGTAAGACAGACTGGCATTCGCATTGCGATACGGGTGCGGTGCAATGATTCATGCAATGCTAAATGCATGTTTGTATATCACACGTTTGCCCCATTTGCACCATGTGTACGTATATCTGAAGTCATGGTCTTCACAATCGTAAAATTGAGCTACCCGTGATCTTTTGTAGCCATCAAATCGTCAGTGCCCTGGTAACGCTAACGTTAAAGCGGCCGCTGGAGGTAGCATTGCATCGCGTAAGCTGGTGTTTCCTTTGCAGAGCTCAAAAACATCGTTGCTTCACTGTCATGTTGGCAGAATGACCACCCTCTAATTGTATCGAACGCACCAACAAGAGTCGGCGCTGGAAGACGACAAGCAGACACGGACGCAGCATCTATTTTCACAGTACTGCAGACACTTCTGTTCGGAGCCAGGCTTCACCAAGTAGCATGTGCTAGTACGTGCAAGTTTTTCAGCATTTCCTTCGCGCAGGTTTTCATTTTTCCGCGTCCCTATTCTTTGTCATTCATGTTCCAAACGATCCCTTGACCGTCCTCTACCGGCCTCAGCGTCCACGTGTTGCACGCAGTTCCAGAAGGTAACAGAACTAGTCGCGATGCAGCTGATTGTTTGACCTATCCACCGAAACACAACTTGGCCGCTACTTGCCCCCCTATTCGATACAACACGCGGCTGGAATGCACGTGATTGCTACGACGTCGTTAGCGAAAGTAGGCGTTATTGGTTTCGACAACACTCTGAGTTGCTTGAGTTTCCCGGCCCTTTGAATTACAAACTTATGGCTTTTGGCGCTTTCATTTCTTCCCAACTTAACATTGACGCCAACTCGTTTGCTTCGGTGTGGCCAACGAAATAACAAACAGCGTCAATGCATGTTGTTGTGCGGATGGGCAGAAGATCAATAGCCGAACGACTTAGTAGGCAAATGACGTGTACATCCACACCCACAACGACAACACATCACGAGGCAAGATAGTAACGGGCACTGGAATCCCAACAGTACATTGAGACGATGCTTGACCACGTCAGCTTGCAGCGAGTGCATAGAATTTGGTCGCGGTTGCAAGAGCACCACCACCTTTCCCCGTCGAAATAACGTCACGATCCGGGCTACTACGACTCCACCAAAGTGTCGACCAGAAGCCCTGGGCAATCAAATCGGTAACAGCGAGTGGTTTGATTGTGTCAGCCCGCAGCTTGTACAACTTCGTTAACGTATACGCACTTTTCGAGTCATTCAGCAAGGTGACGATCGTCATCAATTACTTGCGCCAATTGTGTGCTAGCAAGAAACCACCTTGGCTTACGGGTGGAACCGGCTGCTACGTGCTCGAGAAAGAAGTGAAGAGGCTCAAAAACTTTGAGCAGATTACCCGGGGCCAACTTGAGGTGCTCTGCTGTTTGCGGACGAAAGTGTGCTTCAAAAAGTACTGAGTCTTTCACAAGATCATCTGCGGCTGTTTTCTCCAGATTACTCGTCACTTGATGCATACGACATTCGTACGCGATGAAATCTGGCAATGTCCCACAAAACCGCATCAGACGGATCACGACGTATGCACGGTCTTGGACTGACTCAATCGCTCCGATAGAAGCCGTCGATGAGCTATGTCTGCTCTGTTTTGGGAGCAAGTGCTGGCCGTGCGATCGCAGCAGCGTCAGATCTCGACTGCTTTTCCGGATTGCTTTGCGAATCACGTCACCAATGCTACCACGAATTTTGGACACAATCGTATCACCATACGGCTTTCGACTATGGACAGTGCTTGTCGATGCAGGCTTGGTCGGAGAAAACACCTGCGGCGTAAAACGCTCAGCTCGCATCTGATGCTCAGTGTCGAGGATTACATCACCGGCCATAGGGTTTTCGTCAGCCTTTGCAGTAACACATTACAAAACCACAAAATACTGTAAGAACACACGAACACACGAATTACTGAGCACCTCAGTCCACTTTTATCGCCACGAACACGCACCTGGCAAAATGGAGCTTCATTGCAACTTGCTTGCTGTTCCTGTGACAGCAACGTAGCGCGCCGCAAAACATCAGACATAAGCTGCTTCGGACCATCCATTTTGCCATCCACCATGATTGTTCGATTCTGCACTGCATGCGGGTCAAGGCTAATTGCTGGCATCGACTTGCGTCTACCGTAGCATCACCATACGTATCATAATCAATCTCTTGTGTCATCCAGTAAAGGTAAATGATGCGCCCACCTCTTTGCATCGTCCGCCTCCACCTGTGAGCGTCGCCTCTGAATTCCACTCAGCGACTTGCGGCGGTTCTTGGTGTCTACAGCTGATGGTTTTCTCGAGCTCCACCTCGCTGGTCTTGATTCTGCTGCCTCAAAACCCAGCTTCCTGTCGACGCGCGTATTGACGTCAGCAATGAGCTTATCAGACGTTCGATTCGGCTTCAATATCGAGCACGCAAGTCCTCGATTGCTGTAGCTGTCGCATGAGCTGCTTTCACAGCTGACAAGTCGTCCACTCCCTCTCTTCTCCTTCGTTTTTTTCTTCTTTGACTGATTACCAGTCGCCACTGTCCGACTCGAATCATCGTGTGACGCTTCTGTATCGCTACAGCAAGTCACAACTTCTTCAGTACGTGGAGTTACCGCCTCTGTCGTCTTCTGTATCAATATCTGCTGCTGCTGCAAAAGGGACTCGAACGGATTGAAGTGCACGTCCTCTCCTGCCTCGTCTCCACTGTCCTCTACAGCCACTTTGCAGTCGATTAGCCAATCACGAAACAATACCATAATTGTATTGCATTGTCACCTGTTTATTTCACGCACCAAGTTCAAAGAGAGAATAACGCGGTCGAGGGTACAGCCGATGGCCGCAGTGACCGTCTCCAGCGGCTTTCGTCCTCGCGGCCAGCGCAGCTCCACGAGAATGCGCGGAAGAAGAGCCATCGTCCGGACTCAGCAGCAGATTGTGGCGGGGAGAGTCGGTTTCTAGACCGCTGTACACCACGCGCTCGTCTGCCTCGTGCTCATGCGGCGTCTGCATGTGGCCTCGACTTTGTCGCTTGAGCTTATTGGGAACCAGATGGTCCCCTGCTGTGAAGTGGATGTTCACGTGACTGGGTCAGCGAGCACTGATTTAGCAGATTGTCGGTGCTTTGTGGGGGACTAAACCGGTAGCTACCGATATGAGCACAAGATAAAAAAAGCAAATTGCGCCACAACGCGGACGAAAGTCGAACCCATGGGGTTCCTACATTTGAGGTGAACTGCTAAAAGGCATCGTAGAAGACGGCTACTCCTGACGTGATTTTTGCAGGACCATCTTCAAACCAGCTTTGTATGCCCATTTCCGAGTCATGCATCGGATGGACGCTGCACAAGCTGCTCATCTCACTCAAGCGTACACGAGTTTCGATCATGCGAGGGCTTTGTAACATGTTTAAACTTTGCGAGTCGGTAGCTCGATAAGATACTGTGACAAAGCGTTTGTCCTCACAAAGAAGCACGTCACGAGTTAATGACTACGACATAGTGTCCCTGCCTTTATTGTGAGACTACGAAGGCTTCACATTCGTGACGTCGTTCTGCCATGGACAGATACTGTAAGTAACACGTTTGAACATTTTGCTTGCCATGTGAATGAGCGCAACTCACGACCGAACATGTGTCAAAGACAACGTGTATACTACTAGACGTAGAAGCTAGTCTGTAGGTGCTGGAGTAACAGCGTATCGTGCCCACCGTTCTGCGGGGTTCCGTGAACGTAGTTTTAGTGATTTTGCAACCACTGAACCTCGAGCTACGGCCACGTGCATGCGAGGGCTTGAAGACTTCGTCACGACTGAGTGTACAGTCGTATCCAATTCGCAAGTCGTGTCCACAAGTAGTACTTGTGGTGGTAGCAATTGTGATTTACCGTCGCCAGACGAGACCAACGTAATGACATGGCACAAAGTGCTGCTGTATTCTGCGAGCGGCCCTTAACTACCGAGGAGGTAGAAGCATGAGTTTATCTTGTCCATCTAAGCACGACGCTTTATGCCCATATTCTTATCTGCGAATTGCAAAGCCACGTGACACATCATGTATCGAGCATTGAGCAGTGAGATTGGTAAACGTGAGCAAGAGCTGCATCTGCCTTAACTATGACCACCGTCATTACTGACCGCTTCAAATTGTCAAAAAGTGCCGGTCTAGATATCGGGCCATTGTTGAGCTGATGATTCCCCGTCACGAGGTAGCTGAAAAGTCGTTGTCGGGTAATCCCTTCGCACGAGCTGCTTCAACTCAACTAAGACACCTTATAAAGCACCTGTACAGCTCTCTATCCTTGGTCCTTGTCCTCACCCGCTGGAGGCTACCATAATGTGGTCAGCTATATCTGTCCGACCTTCGGGCCTGGATCATCATCAGTAACTCAGTGCAGCCAGTACTGGTCCAATCGCCTCTCTGTCGCCTTCGTTCACATCTGCAATGTAAGCCTTCATGAGAAGGTACTCTCGGATGTTCTCGTCCAGGTCAGAGAGGTACGTGGCAACCGCCTTATCCGGAAACTCGAGAACTTTTAGAACGTCCACTTGGTGTCACGACGGTCTTCCGGATCTATGTCTCCACACCTTTGTTGAACCTCTGACACAAAGGACCTCTCATGTAAAAAGGACTTTCGCGTCAGGTGCCCCCTCTTATGTTAGTGTAGTTGTCGATTCTGCCCAGGACCCGGGCCACATTCCAGGTCCTGCTGGATGCTCAGCCACAGGCACGTGGGCAACACAATTGTCCAAGAGTAGAAGGGCCTTTCTGCTAGCGACTCGAAAGTCAATGCTTTGAGCCTTTGATGGAAAACGCATCTGTGCTGTCCAAGCCTTTGCGCTGCTGGGCATGTCAGTTTGGTGAATGTCTTGTAGCCCGCCCCAATTTATGCTAGTTGATGCCTACTGTTGGTCCCAATGTTCTCAGTTTTGCAACTTTTACTGCTGATCGATTTCGGCATGACTAGGAAAAAGCCACGACTGTACAACCTGGACGACTTACCAAATGATTTAAAACTTTACAGCAATAATGATTCCTATCCCAGTCAATTGCAACTGCTTCTACGACTGGAACGTCCATCACCAGTAAGTCCCTACAACATTGACCAAAGCCTTTCGTACATGCAGCGCACACAGTCAGGAGCCACTTCAGCTGACTCGGACGCATTATGACTCAATTTGTCGAGCATTACCAGCGATGCCAGCGTATACGTTACTAGCTGTAGACCGGCATGTGTCAGTCCGTGATAAAAACACCGCAAAATGACAACGGATCTAGATACCATTGTTTTACATCCCAGCACGTCATTGCCATACCCTTTCCATTGTTTTACATCTCAGCACGTCATTGCCATGACGGCCGCAACGAATCGCCACACCGTATAATTCACAAGGTACATACTGACCTTTGCGAGTCATGAAACCCCACTTCCTTTCGCAAACGACGCGGGCAACATAAAATCTCACTCCATCGTATAGTCTTATTGGAAAGCGTGCTCCGGTTTGTTTTGTCCTTACCAGCCATTGAGGGGACATGAGCCGGGCGCGACAAGGCCATGTCCAGCCTGTTCTCCTCGTCTACCGTGCAGATCGGACACGGATGTGTGCCGGTCAACGATTGATACGTACAGCTCCATCCGACCTGCTGTCCTTCATTGATTGTAACTTGTAAAGGCCAACGCTATGCAATTTGTTTGCAAGATGTGACTCGAGGATCTTCGCAGCAGCAATAGATTCAAATACCGGACTACTAAAAGATCGCTGTTGGTGTGCTAGCCAATTGGGCGGTCCAAATTCGAAACACTCGTCACAGATTAGCCACTGTACATTTTGACGCCGCAATTGTAGAAAAACAAATACAGGATAATGTAGTCGACACTCTATTTACAGAGGCGATATTTGGTCTTCCCAATGAGCTGAGCTAAAGATGGCGAACCCCCAGAAGCAGTATAATGGATTATGGCAGCATTCGTTTGATTAAGTGCCGCGTCGGCCGTTACACCCGTCGAGTAAATTACATGGCAGTCATCACATGCAGCGATATCATGTATATAACATGCATGGCATAAGGATAACAAAGCGCTAGGGGGAAAATAACAAAATCTCTGGAGGTGACGCCTCTCAGCCATTTAGTGGGTATCCAGACTGGGGTTGACTCTACGAGAAAATAGGTAAGATTTACAGCAGTTTTATTACAACATATACATTCTGATATCAAAGAGAATAAAAAGATAGAGTGCCGCTGAATCGAAACTACCATTAATGTAACGGGGTAGCCCGTTACATAAAATTGACACCAAACGCTGTCAATAGGAATATTGTCTAGCATGACAATATTCTACCAATATTATCCGGGATGGATAACACTGAAGGAATATTATCCCCTTAAGATAATCTTCATTCGCTGCTCCAATTTTGGTTGATATAAGACAAATTAACCACAGATTGCCACCAATCGCTGCTAGACGTGCGCAATGAGTGGTGAGCAGGTTGTCGTCATACGACGACGTAGTTTAGTATAGTTAGATAAAGATTAAAGTTATATTGATAGCTTAACTACATTAAATACAGTTCTCGGTTTACCCTTACTTGATCGTGTCGTTCAAGTAGCTTAGCTTCCTCTGCACGTACTAGTATACGTGAAGTTTCGTGGCACCCCAAACAAAGGGTGTCCCGTTACACCTGGTAGCACTTGTAGTCCGTCCAACGACTACTTAGTGTCCGTCCAACATGAACATGTTGGACGTAGAAGACGACAGCTTTCACGTCACACGTGAAGGCTGCTCCCACCTGAGTGACATAGAATGGGACGTAGTCGGCCGCGTGAGTGTACTCATGGGCGAACCCGCCATCAGTAGTATGCTGGAGTCTCAAAGCAGAGACTAGAGACATGCTGCTATCAACAAGTTACTGCAAGGGGAACTTGCCGTCGAACGACAAAAGATAGCCTTGCTACAGCAGGAAGGCTCTCATCAGTCGATGGGCGGACCGACGCACATGCGTCGACCCAAAACCTTGAAGATTGATATCTGAAGGTACAAGGGAACCGATAAAGATTCCCATTTGAGATGGTTCGTCGATTTAGACGACGCAATCAGGGCCCGTCACATCGAGGGTGACAAGATGCAAGTCACCTTCGCCCTGTCAAATTTGACGGAACGAGCAAAGACTTTGGCCTTAGGGCTCAAGCTTCACGACCCAAACGTGTTTGAGTCGTTAGAGATCTTGAAGTCTCGGGTCAAAGAGACGTTTGAGCCGTCGAGAGCCGTGTTCAAAGCACGCTCTGCACTCTTGAGGCTAGAGCTAGGTAAGCGTGACGTGCACGCTTACGCACAGCACCTGCGCTACCTTGCGAGTAGCGTTACAAAGAGCCCTGTTGATGAGCACGCGCTCATCAACGTGTTCATCTACGGAGTTGTAGATGGGCAGGTGAAGACCTACATGTTCCGAGAGGATTTCCATGCGCTGGAAGGGCGATAGCGTATGCGGAACAAGAAGACTTCAGCCTGAGACAGTCTCAGGCTAACTCGTCAAACTATCGTCCGACGAGGCGACAGGAAACAGGAGGTCCCGAACCAGTGGACCTCTGTTATATCGAGAGCAAGAACTCTCGCTCTCTGAGTCACAAGCGAACGGCAAGATGCCATCGCTGTCAGAAGATCGGACACAACGCTCATGAGTGCAGTGTCCCGAGTACCACAACACGTCCAAAGACAGGACGTGACGACCACCGTTGGCCGAGGAAAGGTCCGAGGCGTGGGTCCGACCATATCGCTAAGCGCGACAGCAAGTTGGACCGTCAAAAACGGTCAGGGTCAGTAGGGGCGGAGCACCCTGCTGATCCAGCAACGTCAAGAGATTTTGCAGGACTTTGACAAAGACACCTCATCACCAAAGGCAGTAACACACAGAGACTGTGTGTTGCTGCCGTTGGTGATGAGGTGTCTGTTATCACTTTGAAGATCGAAGTGACAAGTGGAATGTTACCGCGCGCCCTAGTTGGGTGTGGGGCGTCGAGCAGATTTATTCGACGTCATTCGCCAGAGGATAGTAGACTTAACTATGTTGAGCAAGATATCCCTCTAACGAGGATGGCGGTGTGCCTTGCTACAGGCGCATCCGTAACAGTGACCAAACAAGTAGTAGAAATCCACTACACTCTAGAAGTAAAGCAGTACGATGACGACTTCATCGTGATGGATCTGGATGACAAATTTGATGTCATCCTTGGTCTGTCATGGCTTCGAAAATGCCAGCCATGGATCAGTTGGCAGCACCGATCCGTGAAGATGCCTGCCACTTGTTCAATAGATGGCCATCTGCTGAACGTCTTGGAGCGTCCACAAGCGTGTGGATGTACTGCAAAGGAGTGAGATGACCCCGCTTTTGTGGTACGGTCGTTAGTAATATTGCACAAGATCACAGTGCAGAAGGCCACTGCACTGTGGAACCAGCTTCAGGCACCTGTGTAGAGACACAGGCTGCGCCGAAGGCTCACCACTCGAAGAGATCGAGTGGACTGGAACACGGATGCACACCAAGAAGGGTGCATCCGAGAAGAGAGATTAGTGTTGTTCAGGATGAACAACACATTGAAGCAAGATCGACTATCAGATAGTCGATCGTAGAGCAAGCCCGCTCGACTGAAAGAGAGTCGATTGAAGAGGATGAGACCGTGATAAGACACGTAACGGAAAAAATATTCCGGCGTTCCTGAGAGGGATAACTCCCGAGAGAGTTATGTTGAGGGTGTGGATCCCTAATCACCTGCGGATGTGTTTTCCCAGGAAATCACCGAGTCAGTGAATGTCTTGGTACAATAATTAAACCCCCCCCCTGAATGACGGATCAAATGCTGGCGCTTATACCACTTGATCTGGTTACTCCCCGAAGTCAGCTTCGGAGGTAGTCAAGTTGCCTTTGCTAGAATCTAAACGATTCTTGCGAGATCTGCGAAGTGACAAGATTAAGCAGATCTGCGTACTCGTCACAGAGGACGAGTACGTCCCCAATATTCGGTCGACAAAAGTGTTTGCTGAGAACGAACGGGTTCTAAGTAGTCCATCTATAGACGAGAGTGTCCTCGATGAGAAGACCCGGATTGAGCGACACACGTCTCAATCTTGGGAGTCTTTAAAGACAAACACTTTGCATAAGGATTTAGATGAATTCAGGGATGTTTTCCCGGAATCCGTGCCATGCGAGCTGCCCAAGGACAAAGACACTCGGCATGAGATTGAACTGAAACCTGGTTCGAAATACTGTGTCATTAAACAGCAGCCACTGCCTCGTGAACAGGTCACATCGATCGACAAATTCTTTGCCGATTGCTTAGCGACTGGTCATGTGAGGGAATCAACATCCCCACACAGCTCTCCGACCTTATGTGTGCGAATGGCCACAGGAAGGTGGCGAATAGTGCACGCATTCAACAAACTGAATGCTGCAACGGTACCGGCTCAAACCCCGATCCCGAGAGAGGATGTCACTATAGATGGTATGGCAAAGAGTACCATCTTTTCTTCCATGGATCTGATGAATGGATTCTGTCATATCCTCATGCGTGAACGGTGTATTCCTTACAAAGCAGTGAGCAACCCCAGTGGTATGCTCTGCGACTGGCTAGTGATGCCACAGGGGATAAGTAACGCCCTGCAACGTTTAACAGATGTGTTACGAATCTGTTGCGATCGGTGCGCGATTTCGCACCGAGTTACTTCGACGATGTCTTCGTCCATAGCTGGGTTATGGATGGAAAGAAGGACGTGGAGGTTCATAGAATTCACGTCCGGAAGATTCTTACACTTATGCAAAAGCATAAGTTGTTCGCGAACCTCAAGAAGTGTACATTCGCAGCGAACGAAATACCACTTCTTGGCTGCATCGTGGGTAAAAACGGTGTGCGTCCTGATCCGGAGAAGATCAAGGCGATTAGCGACTGGCCTGTGCCACTCGACTTCAAGGGACTTCGAAAGTTCCTTGGCTTGGCGGCGTACTTGCACAAATACTCGCGCAACCATGCTGAGACGACTGTACATCTCTCTCATCTGCTAAAGAAAAACGAGATATGGTCATGGAGCACTGAGTGTCAGTACTCATTTGAAGGCATCAAGAAAAGCTTGGTGCAATCGCCTGTGTTGGAAATTGATGATCAGGATAGATCGCTCCATGTGGTCTGTGACGCCAGTGATTTTGCAATCGGCTGCGCGTTAATGCAGTACGACTCAGACGGCGTTGAGCGCGTCGTCTGTTATCAATCGCGTCAGCTGCAAGCAGCTGAGCGAAATTGCTCGGTGCATGACAAGTAACTCCTTGCCATGAAATATGCACTGACCAAGTTTCGTGTATAACTCTTATGAGATAGTCCCTTCATCGTTCATACCGACCATGCGCCGTTACGCACGGCCGTAACCAGTCCACACCTCTTGCAACGAATGGCGAGGTGGCTGTCTTTACTCGCGGAGTTCAACTTCTCTGTCAAGTATAAACCAGGACGACTTAATGTCGTCGCTGATGCTCTTTCGCGTCGGCCCGATTTCGAGCCGTCTGCTCAACACAACAGTAGGAGTGATCTCACTGTAGCAGCAATAACAGTGATTGTTCCATCGTCGGATCTGCTCGATGACGTGCGAAAAGCATACACAGAAGAAGAGTCTCTTCTGCGATCGATGGATTACGTATCCAATCCGTGCAGTCACGCTTTGAAAAGCTTGTCGTCTCAATACCGCTCTTCAACCGAACGGTATTCTGTTCGTGATGAACTGCTGTACTATACAGCAGTCAACGGCGACACACCTCGTGTCGTCGTTCCCGCTCATGATGATTTGCGGATGCGCATCATGTATGAGTGTCACGATGCCCCACCTAGTGGGATCGCGGTAGAGAAAAGACTTACCTCACGGTGAGTCGTGACTTCTACTGCCTCGCCAGTACGAGCTTGTGCGGAAATACATTCGCGCTTGCGACGTTTGTCAACGGGTGAAGCCTAGTCCTTCATCCCGCGCACCCTTGCAGCCTTGTCCGATTCCGGCAGAGTGTTGGCAGTCCGTATCGATGGACTTCGTCTTCAGGTTTCCCAAAGATGTTCACAAGAATACTGGTATTCTTGTGTTTGTTGATCGGTTCAGCAAGATGGTACATCTTGTTGCTGTACCTTAGTCAATCACAGCCCAGGGCTGTGTGCGTGTCTTCATCGATACTATCTTCCGACTGCACGGGTTACCCCGTGAGGTCGTGTACGAAAGGGAACCCCGCTTCACAGCGGATTCTGGAAATCCGTGTTCCGTTCACTTAGAAAACGTTTGACGATGTCAACTTCTGACCATCCAAAAATAGATGGTCAGACGAACGCGTCAATCGCGTCCTCGAAGAGATACTTCGAGGGTACGTCCACTCGTTTGCGAGTTGGAGTGAGGTCTTGCCGATGGCGGAACTCGCCATCAACACCTCGGTGGACGTGTCGACAATGCATAGACCGTTCTTCGTGAATGGCCTGCGCCATCCACGTTTAACCGCCTTTTTAGAGTGTGAATCTAGGTTAAGGAGGAGAGTGGACTTGCTCGAACAAAAACCGATCTGGTTCTTGCTCATCACCCGTTGACAATGAAGTCTACGTGATGGATGCCGATGTCGATGGGATCGATATCGATGATGATGCTGACGACGATGCTGGTATATTCAGCATCGCCAATGACCGCCAAAGTGAGGACGATGACGCCATCACTGGTGAAAACAATGTTCTTTCAGCAGTGCACACGAAGCGCACTGCTGTTGACAAGGATGAATCAGCAGAGGAATTTTTGCTGACTCGCGAAGCGGTTGTCCGCTTCGTTCAAAACTCTATTGCAGTTGCTAGACGGACAGAAAAGAAACGCAGACAAACAGGAAGAGCAAGTGTTCGATTATTTGATGAAGGAGACCTAATTTTTACTGTCTACAGTAATCTTACCGAAACACGCGGTGACAAACGTGGGTAGCAGTAAATTACTGCCCAGGTACATCGGTCCATTTCGTGTGTTGCGCCTAATGGGCAGCGCATACACGATTGAACTGCCTCTTAGGACGCGATCGAATTCTACATTTTACTTTGGACATCTCCGCCGTACTATCAGTACGAGCTCGTCATGAGATGCGAAGAAAACCTTCTCGGTCGAGAGCCGAGACCACATTCGAGTGGTCCCGTTTCAACGAGCCAGTCTGGTTGACTAGCGGAGCGACCTGTTCACGCAGTTTAGCGATGTCTCGACGAGCTACAGCCAGCTCGTCACGAAAAGAACGAGTCGAACATTCGTTCTCAAGTTGCGCGAACGCAACCGCGGCACGATCGTCCGAACGATCGTGCGTTGGGGAATTGTAATTACCCCTCACAAGATCCTCAAGCTTATAACGCCGAGTTCGTTCATGAGCCAGGCCATCTTGCAACTGTTCCGTTACACGGTTCAGCTCTTGACCATCAAGCTGATCCGACCCTCGATCCGGATCAGGTTTTCCTGCCGCCACCACATCCTTTGGTGGACTCAAGCGGTGGTCAATGCTTCCTAGTGGAGCGTATTTTGAACCACCGCGATGTGAATGGCGTCCGGAGGAGTTACCTTGTCCGCTGGCGTGGCTATCCACCGGCGTGGGACAGCTGGGAGCCTCGTGCCCAGATGATTATTGATGTCCTTGGTCTCGTCGAGTAGTACGTCGAGACCCACCCGCTGCGTTTAAAGAAGGGCCGTCGGAAAAAGACCTCCCCGAACGCGAGTACAGGGATTGCAAGGTGTAAATCCTTTCAGCTATCTTGTAAGAGATGCGCGCCCTCCTGTAGGGATCACTAGGGAGGTAGGCAACCCTAGGGACACGGATCGAGTTATCCAGGCAACCTGGACACGAATCGCCCCACGAAAGACAGGGTAATCCTGCCTCTCTTGAAATCCATTGCAACTTGTATCGCGCCCCGACTGGGTCGCTTTTCTCAAACTGAAGCGTGCTGCATCAAGTTTACCGAGCCAGGCCTCACGGCCAATGCGCTCGATGTTATGGATGAGGGAATTTCATCTTTGCGCCAAGGCTTTGTCGTCTCGAACACGGCTGCCATTATACCACCAATGTTTGAAAAACGCATCGGTGAAGAACTCTTCCTCAGAACGGATAGTTTCCGTGCTAGATACAGGTAGGCAATTCTTCCTGCATTCGAACAACGGGATTCGATCCCGTTCGGTAGTCATGCCGGCCAACCGGTCCAACTCTCTGGATGGCGGAATCCAAGGTAAATCCACTTGGGGAACGTGGATTAGGACATATCGGTCCCTGGCCTCTTGATTGGTGCCAGCATGAGTACTGGCACCAGTTTCACCCCGATCCCTCAGATTACTTTGCTCGTGGAGATGTAGAGGTGCATCACCACCATCCCCACGCGTCCTATCGTTGGATGGACTTGCGTGAGGTGGAGAATCATCGGAATAATCACTCGATCCGAAGATCTCGGTCATGATACTGTCGCGCTGACCAGAGCCAGTCAGCCTGGATTTTGCAGTGTCCGCACCGGGTGATCCCGAGGCGTGAGGAGTCGCCTTCGAGTCGGATGCATCATCCGACTCGCCGGAATAGATGAGCTCGATCTCAGACTCGTCTTGATCATAATTCGAGGTACCCGCTGCAGACACAACGGATGTAACTGTCGCACGTGGTGACTCACCACGTGGAGGATTCACGACAACAGGTGAAGATTTACCTGCTGCTGAGGTGTGAGAGGTACTATCCGCGGACGCACGCATGCGTGCAGCCGCTCTTCTTGCTGCTGCAGTAGCCGCTCGCGTGGTTTTAAAAATCATGCGTTGGATTGGGAAATGAATGAAATTTGACCAACAAGTGCTCCCTTTTCCAGAGTGATCCAACGGTGGTCACCCTGTCCCAATCAATTTCAACTCAATCAACGGGTGATTGATGGTTAAGGCGGGTGGGTGATGTTACGGGGTAGCCCGTTACATGATATTGACACCAAACGGTGTCAATAGAGACATGTCTAGCATGACAACATCCTACGAATATTATCCGAGATGGATAATATTGAAAGAATATGATCTCCTTTAGATACTGTCCATGCGCTGCTCCAAGATTGGTTGATGTAAGACATATCAACCACAGATTGCCACCAATCGCTGCTAGACGCGCGCAATGAGTGGTGAGCAGATTGTTGTCATACGACGACGTAGTTTAACATATTTAGATAAAGATTAAAGTTTTATTGATAGCTTGACTATATTAAATACAGTTCTCGGTTTACCCTTACTTAAACGAGTCTTTCAAGTAGATTAGCTTCCTCTGCACGTACGAGTGTACATGAAATTTCGTGGCACCCAGACAAAGGGTGCACCGTTACAGTCGCGGTCAAGCTTCAGGTTAATGTCAAGCTTCAGGTCAACTTTATTTTAGAAAAAAATCCCAGTGCATGTCTGTGCAGTTTGTAAGCGTGCAAAGGTGACAAATCGACATCGGTCTTTTCGCAAAAACTTAGGTGACTCCATCTGTAGAGGACCTACACAGCCCTTTAAGTCAGAGGAAGACCTAACGCTCACGATCAAGTTAGTTCTAAAGAACTAGACTCAATAAGTCAGTAAGCGTAAAGCTTATGGTCCTTGATCCAGGGGACCAAAAGATTCAATGATTCGACAGCACTTAGTGCTCAAGGTTATCTAGCTACCTCAGAGAGGTTTTGCCAACTCTTTGTGATCAGCGATCAGCGACCAAAGACGCCTCGCAAGGCACGTGTCTTTGAGATAAAATGGGGAGCTGCATTTTTTAACATTTTAACCAATAGAATATCTTAACCCAAGTTAGTACAACTAAGATCTCTCCTATTTAGTGGCTGACACCAGTCAGCCCCTATAAACCGATAAGATATTATATATTTCTTTCAGTGCGATTTCAACCGTTTGTCCAAGACACAGGGTAAAAGGTACCCAAATACGTGTAATCCCGTTACATGGGATGAACAGCACTTAAGATGCGAGCATGGCTACGCTCAAACACACGCGGCAAACGATGATGCCGACGAGGTGCACGAAGCCGCGCTGCTGCACTGGCACCGGCGACTTGGCCACCCCATGTTCTTTACAAAAACGAGCGCATGGCGCGCGATATAGCGTCGGGCATCCGGCTAACCAGCAACAAGCGCGTTGGGGGATTGTCATGGCTCAAGGTCAAGAAGACGCGAAACGCGCAGTCAAAGTAGAACAGCGGTGCTAATTTTTCGATCGACAGGATCGGCGGTGTCATCTGCTGGGCCTCAAGGGACCGACGATTCCGCAACACCGCCTCGGCAATCGATATCTATTTAGCTTTATCGACCAAAAATCTAACTACTGCCGCGTGTTCCTCGCGCGCACGAAGAACGCTGCGGTGAAACAGTTTGAGGCTTTCCTCGTTCACTGTGAGAAGCGATTCGGTTTCAAGGTTCATGTGCTGCGGACGGACGGCGGCGGAGTGTACGACAACGTCGATTTGTTATGCAAACGCACAGGTGTCGCGCGCCAAGTGTCCAAAGCGCGCAACCAGGCGTCAAACGGCAAGGCGGAGAGGATGCATCGGACGGTGCTGAACCTTGCGCACAGCACGATATTTCCGTGTGCGCTACCGTTTCAATTTTGGAGGGACGTGGTTTAGTACGCTGTTCACATTTGAACTACAGTCCGACGCGAGCAAACGCAAAGAGAGCGTCGCCTATCGAGGTGCTGACCGGCAAGGCGCCAGATTTGCGCAGCATCGTCGTCTTTAAATCGTCGTGTAGCTCTTATCACGACCCGCGCAAGAGCTCACTGCACCAGCGATTGCAGACAGGCATTATCGTGGGCATTGCGAGTAGAGAAATGGATACAAGGTCCTCCTCCAGCGAGAAAACAAGGTGGTCGTCACACAACACGCAAAGAACATCTCCACGCTAACCGGTGCTCAGAACGCTCAACTGCAGAGCGCGATGGAGTTCAAATTATAAGACTAAATTGCGGAAGAGGCAGCACCACTAGCTGAGGTGGAAGTGAGGACTCGCGACGACAATGGAGGAGCGCAAGATGGCCGCGGCGGTTACAGAAAGAGCAACAAGCCGAAGGCGCGACAAGCGCACGGGACCCGCGGCGCTTCGAAGCGTGCGCCAGGAGAAGCAAGCTGAAAGTGAAAAATTCGTCAGTACAGCTTTTGAGCTTGATCCGCGCAATTTTGGCAAGACCGTGTGCATCTCAAAGCGCCCGGAGAGTCAGAAAGGAGTGCAAGAGGAAATCTCTGCTCTCCAGATCAACGATGTGTGGCGCGTGATGAATGCAGCCCAGGCACAAACGCCTTCACTCTAAGAGGGTATATAAGACTAAGACTAGAGCCGACAAAAAGCTGGAGCGATACAAGGCGAGGCTTGTCGCATGCGGAAATTCGCAAGTGCTCGGCGTCGGTTACAACCTAACTTTTGCCACCGTGATGGACATCTCGAAGGCAAAGGTCATGCAGTTTTTCACTGCAACGTCTGGCGTGCCTGCCAAGCACGGAGAATTCCCGAACGCAAACGTGCGTGCTGAACAAAAACTCACCTCAAATTCTGCCTACAGGTGCCACGTGGGATGAGCGTGTCCGAGATTAGTCTGCGCAATTTAGGTGCTGCGCATCCAGGCGAGGTCGTTTTGGAGCTGAGGAGGAGCCTGTACCGCTTGAAGCAAGCCGGTCGCCTCTGGAGCCAGTTGCCCCCCTAACGAATTAGCAATGCGGTGTACGTGCGATGTGTTTCAGACATGTTTCTGTACCATAAAGGCGACAACGGCAATCTGGTCGTTTTTGGCGTCTACATCGATGATCTACTGGCGACGGGAACGAGCGTCGCGGATGTCGAGAGTTTCTTTGCGAGCCTGGCGTCGCTGTCTATTAAGGGTCTCGGTCGCGCTCATAAGTTTCTGTGGATGCGAGTGAAGCTTGGAATCGACGGCGCAAATCGCATTGACCAGGAGAAGGCATCAAGGAGCTCTTGCGTGCTCACGGGATGAGCGATGCAAAACCGACGAAGATGCCGATCGGAGATGAATGGTACGAGATTTTAGGCTACGATGCCGCACTGCTGGAGACGGCTAATTCAGGCGGTGATGCGACGATTAACGCGTTTCAGTTGCTCGTCAAAACCTGCTGTGGGGTGCGCGGTGCCTGAGGCCGGATATGTCCCTTGCAGAGCATAGAGCGACTAGGCAGACGTACGCGCCGCGAGTGCTCGACTGGAATCTCGCCAAGCGTGTCTTGCGATACCTTGAGGGTACCGCGACGCTCAAGCTCGAGATGGCGCCGGAGAGAACGAGTCGCGACACGTTGCAGCTCGAAGCATATAGCGACGCCGACTACGCAGCGGACAGAGCGGATCGCAAGTCGCTAACGAGAGGCTTTGTGCTACTCAATGCGATGGCGGTGTCGTGGACCACGAAGAAACAGGGCGGTTTAAGTCTCTCGAAAATGGAGTCCGAGTTCGGCGCGGCTTCGGAAGTCGTGCGCGAGCTCATTGGCTTGAAACAGATGCTCGAGAAGGTGGGCATGGCGCCGGTTGTCTCTATGCTGATGTACGTGGGCAACCAAGCAGCCATCAGCCAGATCGAAGGCGAAGCCTACTCGATCAAGGCTAGCACATCGATGTGAGGCACAATCATCTGCGCGACCTCGCTCAACGCGGTATCGTCACGACGAAGCACGTTCCGTCCGAGCTGAAGCTCGCTGACATGATAACTAAGGTACTTGCTGCGACCAATCAGGGGGCGCTGCAGAGTCTGATGCGGCTCCAGTAAGAGCTGGATGCGATGAAGGGTCGGAGGAGCGAGAATGGGCAAGATGGCTGCGTTGGAGTGTGCCCCATGGTCGGGGCACGCGTAAGGATGCAGGAGCTCAAGGATGGAGGAGCGAAAGGACATTTGCAAGCTCAAGAAATGGAACGAGTGTGAGGGCATGTCACGACCGAGGACGAGTGTTGTTGGAAATGTTGGAAATGTTGAAAATGGGTGCGAGGGCACTAAAAGTCGATGGGAGTGGTCGGTCGTTGACTTGAGATTCATTTGGGACCATGATGCCATAAACTCGCTTTGCGCAAAAGGTGGACGCAGAGTGACAAGCAGAATAGGGATTGCATCCATGTAAAGTCAGAATACGTGCAAGATGAATGACTGTAGCATAAAGCTTTAAATAGCACGATAGGAAAGAGAGAAATAGTAAGAAGCAATACAGGATCTTATCGTCCACCTACTGCCTCCTACTGAAACGCATACGTGCTAACACATTCTCCTGGACATAGTGATCATCATACCCATAAACCATCGTAGGAAGAAGAGGCATACCACGTCTTACCCCCCCCCGCTTCCAACGTTGGCGATTCTTCTCGTAGTTAATTGCTTAAAAGTTGTCTTTCAGGAACTTTGGCGTACGTTGTAAATTTATTCCGCTTACGTGCGATATGAATATAGGCATAGGCATCAAAACAATATCAGGTACGTACAATGTTCGAAATATATCCAGTGTAAGTCCTTGTTCCATGTTGGTGATCCCATTCTTGAGGCCCACATGAAAACAAGATTTCTTATCAGGACGTGCACACTTCGCTCTCGGTTTGCTTTTAGTCGCTCCTTCCTATTCTTGAAGAGTTAACAAGCACATTTTCGGTGCTCAGCAGAGCCGCATTTATAACACAAGTTGGCGCACTTGCGCTGCGCAATCAACGCCTTCTCATCACTAGGCGGTCGGACGTTCGGTCACTCTTCGGGGCTCCGACAACGCTGCCACCGCTATTTCTGCGGCCCTTACGTGTATTACCGCTATGGTTGCTTCCACAGTAGGGAAGCGATAGCTCATGGGCCTGTAATGAAATCAATTTGCGAACCTTTATAGGAATACATTTCGGGACCGGCGTGATTAATATCACCCTGACCGTTCGAAATTGCTTTTCATTCGGCAAGCTATCGATCATGTATCATATCATGTTTACGCCGTTTTGCCTCACATTCGTTTCTAATATATCCGATTTCCTTTCCGTCTCACGCTTTCAGTATCCAACTGCACGCATGGTCGCACATTTCATCCTGTACGCGCAGACACAATTTTTTCTTTTTTACACTGTATGATTTAATAATTAAAGAGCATCGAAAAAATGATTTGACAATCCAGAAAATGAAATTAGCATGCTTATTTCAACGAAATACACCCGACGACAAGCTAATACCCAGTTTGGTTGTATACTCATCGCGTATCACGGAAGAATTGTCATTCCAGACAAAATTCGAGAAGAAAATGCGAATTAGCATCGTCAAATTTTGGACATCCAAGCTCTGATTGCCAATACAAGACAACTCGACAGTCATTTTACTGGCCTGGGCTCGAAGCACTAATCTCTTTTTTCATCGCTCGTTTTGTAATCTCACAAGCGAATCAAGTTGCATATCGAAAGCAAGACTTTGGATTCTTACCACCAGAATCTTTACAATCAAGTGATCCTTGGGTTACCTTCCGTGTGGACATCATCGTTCCGTGTTACAGGTTCTTCGTGATCAAGATGATTGAACAGGCTACAAGATTCCTCGAGGCCACAGTTCGACAGGACAAAACGGCTGTAGCGGAGCTATACGTTTCCTTAAGTCAGAGGAAGATGTAGTGAAAAACTAGATTCTATGAGTCAACAAGCGTAAAGCTCAAGGTATTTGTGTCAGGGGACCAAACGATTCAGTTAATCTACAGCACTTATTGCTTAAGAGTAGCTACCTCAGTACCAAGTACCCTATGATGTGTAAACCATTAACACCCTCCCCGACCATGCTGACGTGTACCAAAAACTAAAACAAACATGATATTCAACGAGGTCGTTGCGCTTGCGTTTAACCTCACAATAATGCAAAGCTTACGCTCCATTTCCTCATCGACTTACGAGTCGCAAACCCTTCGTGCATACCACGAGACGGAGTAAGTGTGGACTATGGTAGTGATACCAGTGTCCCAGGTGATGCTAGGACAAAGTCCGATACACCAATGCCTAAGGAAAAACCTCCAACACGTTAAGTCCGTTCGCTGAACGCGGTGATGCGAATTCGCCATTGGCTCCGCATCTAACACCTCATTCGGATGATACAATCACTACCTACCCTCTCAATAAGCAGCAACTGTTGGATATTCAACGAGAAGAAAGCGCTTGGCGCCATGAACAACTTGTCGCGAACGTTGCGAATCAGCGTGACTGTGTGTTCACTCCTGTAATTTGGAGAACGGTCAACTTAAAGACTGGTCAAAAGTTGTCAAGGGGGACCAATCCTTTTGTGGCTACTTAAACCGATCGTGAAAGGTACCTGGAGCCATATTTGACACGCAAGGTCAGTAAAAGACACGCCTTGAGATGCAAGCACGTGGTGCACTGGTTCCACTTATTAAGAGTGTACCCATTCTCTTGTTCGCGGGCAAAACAACGGACAAAGGATACAAAGACTTCATTCGCTGGGCGCATTGGACTCGTCGACTCAGCAGTATATACGCTCTGAGAGCTAGTGTCAGTGTGGACGATGTGCGTCTCGAACGCAAGGCTCGTTATAATTATGCCAGGTTTAAGGCCAAAGGCCAATCGTGCAATCGCACGCGCTATAGTTCGGCTACTACGGTAACCGCGAGTGCTGGTAAAACTGTGACACTCAACCCGCCAACCCACACAACTAGTGTTGGAGAACGGCGTCGGTTTTGAGATGTCACTGGCCACGATGGTTGAATATTCCCAGGGCATTGGGTCAATCTTGCTTAAGTGGAATCTTATACATCCATAAGTTCTCCGACTCCGGGCACTTACACCACTTAAATGGAGACTGATTCTAGCCATATTAAAGACCCCGTTTCAATGGTCGCTCGACATGAAACTGGCGAGTATGATCGAGTAGCGTCGAAGCGGACTGTTGTACCGGTGGTCGACCACTAAAACTTGGTTTTAAAAATAAACAATCTCAAAGAAACCTTGGGTTGTACCAGTTCATGCTAATTTCGATGCAAAGCCGACTTCAGGCAAAGAAGCGCGTTTAAAGTTAGAGCGCGGGTCCGTTTATACTATCTAGTTCGCTTGCAGCTATCCGGGGCATCGCCCTCGTCGTCGGCGCCAGCGCCTCAAAGTTCACGTGGTATTGATCCCTAGACGGCTAAATTAAGCCTATGTAGAACACAGGGTGTGTGCGCGATTTGTGTGGAAGGTTGCAAGCAAGTTTCTTCTTGGTAGTGACCGTAAACACACAACGAGGCCAACAAGAAAATTTGTCTTTAAGACAGCTAACACTACATTTGTAGGTAGATTTTTAGCATTAAGCAATATTTGGTCTCCGATGTGAATTCATTTAACGCAACCTCCGTTTTGAGCATCTACTTATCGTTTGTTGTTCTTGGATCTCATACATTGCGTCACGCACATGTCTTAAGACATTCTTTTGCGTTGCAAGATACTCGCCTACTTGTTTTAGACAGTAGCAGGGCTGATATCAGCAAGCTGATCGGTAACCTCTCCCCCACCGATCCCTTAATTACACAGTGCTAGGGTTAACGGAACGCGAGGGTAGGTGAAACCGTTTAAGTAGAACGAAGTATAGCCTGTAGAGGCATGAACAGCTTTAATCAACGCAATCTCGACCACAGGAGCATGGATCTTCACCGCTTGGGCGTATCAGCGCAAACACTGCGCAAAATGTCACTAATGACGTAATAAACACGCTCATTTTGACCACCAGTCTGTGGTATTTTCTCTATGGACATGTCCAATTGAGTGCCGAGCACCTTTAAGATGAAAATTAAAACTTCCCAGTGATGCAAAATTCAATATCAGAGACAATTTTTTAATAGTAAACCATGTTGTTGAAACATACGGTCGATAAATGGCTTCGCTGTACCTTCACCTTCTTTGGAATCAGGCACTGCCGCTCAATGATTCTTTTGCTCAAATTGTCAACAAAGACCTCAATGCCAATGTTGCCGTCTAAATCCTTTGGTAGGCCAAACACAAAGTCCACTCTCATGGATTTCCAACACCCAGTGGGTACATGTAGACTAGCCAGCGGCATAGCCGCATGTCATGATGGTTTGACCCGTTGACACGTTCCGCACGTGCGCACATAGTTGCTTGCTCACTTGTATAGTTCGGTACCCCAATAAGCCTGGCTTACTGAGCCATAGGTCCTCTCACGACCGAGATGACCACTTAAAGTGGTACCATGTGCCTCGTAAAGGCTTCAATGCTTCAACTCCTCATCATGAGGAACTGCGATGCGAGGGGTATCCTCAATATTCGTGCGATAGAACGACAGGCCATTATCTATCAAATTTCGATGTAGCCTCGCACGTAAACGTGCCGACAAATCCATGTCCGAGTATTACAACTCCTCACTCCCAAGAGCCCGTAGCAAAGCTACACATTGGTCATCTTTGGCATAAGCCGCGCGGATTAAGTCAGGGACTGATGACGACAGTGACGTAACATGAGCAAGCTCATAGTCAGGTCGACGCGATAGCGCACCAGCCAAGGCATTTAGCGTTCCTGGCTTACACTTCACCTCGAAGCTATATTCGACAAAAAAGGAAATCCAACGATCCATTCTCTGAGAGAAATGAGGCGACTGTGTCGCAGTGCGCAATGACGCATGATC